GTCAAGTTTCTGGGCCTCCTCTTTGATCGTAGGTTATCCTGGAAACCTCACATTACCTCTCTGAAGGCAACTTGTCACAGCCGCTGAACCTTCTTAAACCCTTGCTCATCTTTCGTGGGAGCTGATCGTCGAACCCTCCTTCACCTACATTCCACCCTTATTTTATCGAAACTTGATTATGGTGACCAGATCTATTCAGCGGCATCTCCTGTACTTCTCTAGCCTTAAACCCCATTCATCCCCAAGGATTACGTTTTATGCCTTGGTCTTTTCGCTCTTCCCCTGTCGAAAGCCTCTATGCAGAACGAAAGTTTTCCCTCCTTATCCGATCGCCGTGATGGCCCCTTTGCCGCCTACTATGACGCTCTCATGATCCCGCAATCCCTTTCCCTTTAAGAATGGTCCTGTATTAGTGACATTCTTTTTTTTGTCGCCGCCCCTGCTTACTCCGTCCCTTTCTCTTTGCCTTCATTCGCTTTGTCTTCCTTCAACTACCCCCCTTTCTATGTACAGTGCATCTCATTTTCCCTACCCCCCCCCGGGAAGTTCCAGCGTTCGAGTCTGTTTTTCTCCCTCCCTTGCTCGAAACCCAAAATGTCTACGGGCCTTCCCGCTCTTTTTCTTGACCACTTTCACTCTCTTCTCATGCCATTGCTGTGTACACAGTGGCTTAATCTTCTGACGGGTGGTTCGCAGCAGTTTTCCGGACAGCGTGTACAAGGGGATTTACTATTTCAGTAGTATTTTTACTGGGAAATTTTTGCCATCCTTAAGCCTTTTCGTATTGCATCTATGCCCGTGTCTCTTTGTGGTTGTCTCAACCCCTTAGTGCTTTTTCAGGTATACAAAAAATTTTAACCCCCACCCTTTTCCTCCGTATCCAACTTTGGCTACGCCGCATCTTTACTAAACTAAAAAATTGTTTTTTTTTGGGCCCCGGTCAGTTGACGTAAGGGCAATGAAAAGGCAGAACGCTGCCCCGGGGCGCGTACATGACCTACCAGTTTTTTAAGAGGTATTCCTGTACGGACTTTTTTCTGTAATATCTTCCCACCTTCACACCCCTTGGCAAAAACGTTGGCTATATTCGGCAACAAACTTCATTTTATTTTAAACCCAGTAAAGGTTAGGCCCCTTCTTATCACCAGTGTCGAGGTTTGGGGGAAACTCTCTCCCCTCTTCGCATTGGCCATACTGTCTTATATGGGTATTATGGAGAAAGGGGTCTTTCTCCCCTTGTGAGATTTTCCAAAACTCCATTATCAGTCAGCCACTTCTGTTGGACTGCCCACTTTATCAACGAGCAGCAGAATTTATCTGCGTGTCTTCCCCCGCTGCTCCTCTTTACCCTTCCCTTCCGTGATGGACCCCCCTTTCATCCGGATCTCTATTGACTTTGACAACGATGACTTACTTCACAATTCTGATACTTTCAGCCCTTTTACTTGTATTCTTTCTACCCCCTTTCCCCCCGTATATCCCCCCCCGGTTTTTGTAAAACCCGGATCATCCCCCCTCCTTTGCCATCAAATTCCCTTGCTTCCTTTCCCTCCCCCTGCGCGCTGTATAGCCCTTTGGGGCTTAGCCTTTTTTTGATTTATAATAATAATAATCTACCACAAAATGTCCTAAGCAGTAAATTTGCTAATCTCCCGAACAACAATGGAAGGTTTACCTTGCTCATGATTTCCCTTGCCAACATGAGGTGGGGGTTATGGCCCACTATTTGATAAGTGCTGCTCTAGTGATTCACTAGAGCAACATTGAATATAAAAAAAATAAGCAAAAGCATAAAGTTGTTTACCTAGGTTACATATTGCCAAAAAGTACATAAAATTAAACCAATATTAACATAAAATAAAAGTAAAATGAAGCTATAATAAATTAATAGTTTCTTTTATAGAATATTAGTGTATAGCATACTAACCTTCTGTGGATCACATGTATATACATGTCTGGGTTGTCAGACCCCTTGTTACCCCTAAGAAAAAAAAAATACATCCAGGCCATATGGATGGTTGCAGGGCATTGTGGATATTGCCCCTCAATATATAAAGTAACAATGGCACACTGACACACCCCACAGTCTTGGTGAAACAAAAAATTCTGTGGAATAGACACCAATGAAAGTGATGACAGCAGCAATGGATGTTCCTTTCCTGGTTTTGAAGGTAATCACACTAACACCTGGAATGTAGTGTCAGTCCTAAATATGATGTGGCTGTAATGTCCACTTTGCCTCCAAGGAGGTGGATGTATCTTATTCTAGGATCAAACCTGATTGTATCCCATTTCTCATGCACTGTATAAACCCTAAGGTGTTTAGCATCCCTAATTATAATAAAAAATCCATTGCTTCCTGTTATTCTATCACATGTGCTGTTCTATTAATTATTTGCGCACATACACTAACATGACGTAATTCCAAGCACAAACCCCTCAAGGAAGGTTCCTTGATGTTGGTGAGGGGCTCTTGATTTAGGGAATTGGATCTGTGCTCCAGTTCCCCAAATTAAGCCTGAATGCCTTCCACACCCTCCCCCCCCAGGCGCTGTATAATCCTCCGGGTTTAGCGCTTCCCCCTTGATTATAATAATAATCCAAGCACAAAGATGACCAGAGCTGTCTGTAAGATGGGAAGGAAGGAGGATGGGAGGGAGGAGGAAAATAGGCAAGTGGCACAGTAGTACTGCAGGCATAGATGGAGAAGGATGAAAGACGACGGTACTTGGCTCACAGGGAAGGGATGACGAAGGCGGCAGCAGGAGCTGTGAAGGTCAGAAGGCAGCAAGCAGGATGAAGTGTATAATGATGGTCGGTGGGAGGCTTATTAAACTAGTGTCCCAGAACGCAGAGACAAGAACTTCGCTTTTGGGAGATAGACAAGTTTAAACATGCTGTCGGGGGCTATCCCAGGAGCAGTAAGGGCACTGATTGTGTCGGCAAGGGTATAGGGATGTGCACGAGTACAGGTGAACTTAGCATGTCTATTCTGGAGGAGGTGGACCAACGTTCGGGGAATCAGTTCAGTAGGATACTGACAAGCAGAGAAGAAAGTGATTCCGAGTATCAAGACCTCGAGACGGTCATCGTCAGAGGCAGACGAAGTCCTTGATTGGACAGTTTTAGTGGTGATGGAAGACGAGGACGCTGTGCGTGTCTTGACAGATGTGGTGGCTGGCACTGGAGGCAGTTTCTCATTGGTGGAGAGAGGTGGAGGTACATGGGGCAGTGAGGGCTCTGATTGGTTCCTGGCAGTGGTGGTGGTGGTTTCTCATTAGTGGATTTTGAAGTAGAGTAGGTGGCGTCCGCAGAGAACATATCTTGCAAGTTATCTGGTGCCTCGAAGCTGATGATTTTTGGAATCATCTTTAAAACCTCAGCTGAAGCAGGACTAGCTGAATGATGGCAGGTTGTTGAGAGCAAGAATTTCATTCAAAGATGTGTTGAAACATCCCAGGTTCACTGCATTTTGCATGTGTGCATACAGCATGCAGTAATAAAATTTAATTGAAATATCATCTGGTAGAGGAGAGGTGGTGCATGGTGGAAACTGTTGAGTGGCTTGTAGAATCTTGGTGGTGGTCGTCTGTAGCTTAGCTATAGCAGCATAAGTAGGAGAGTTTCCTGTAGTCTTCTTCAGGTCTTCCTTTAGTTTCTTTGCAAGGATCTCCTTACGAACAGGACATTTGGCTGCCAGAGTATGGTGGTCGCTCTTACTGTTGATGCAGGTGGGAGCAGCAGTTGAGGTGCAGGAACGAAAGTCGTGACCTTCAGACCCACAGGTAGAACAGATCATCTTGTTCTTCACATGGCATTCGGCAGCTGAATGATTGTAGGAGCAGCATATCCAACAAGGTGTTACATGGTTGAAGCGTTCTAGTTCAATTTGACGAAAGTTGATAAAGTAGGAGATGGCCAGGCCATCAGACAGTGCTCTAGTTGCCATGGTGACGTCCAGAAATGTGACCTTGAGCACTGAGGATCTTCACAATGGAGTCAATCTTGGCCCAGGCATTAAGGTCTTCAACTGATGATTTACTGTCACCGGGAGACATGTTCATGATTAGCTTATCAAGGTGTTTCATGAACACTGACCGTTTAGCTAGCATGTAAGGTGAGGTAGAGATGATAAAGCCACAGTCGTCTAAGATCTTCAGTGCAGTAGGCGTGAGTACCTTGTCTGCTTCTTCTTCATCAAGAAAGATGACGAGGAAAGCTTCTTTCAGAGAAGTATTATTATTATAATCAAAAAGAAGCGCTAAGCCACAAGGGCTATACAGCATTCAGAGAAGTAATGTTCGAAAACTTAACTCTTAGACTAGACTGGAGAGGATGCAAGTTCAAGTTTCGTGACATCGTTGATGACAGCAGTCTTGGGTTTAATCCTCACACAGTGAGACATCGTGGAGATGGTAGAGGTTCCCCTCCCCAACGGGGATTGCAGGGAGACTGGTTGAGAAGCACAGGAGCATCTGACCGTACAGGACGAAGTCTACAGAACAAATCCTGTGAACCATATAATTTCAAGTATATACATAAAAAAAATACATGAAATTCACAGCATACCATTACTATTAGCTGTACAAACTAAATGGGTAAAATGTTAGTATAGTGCTACATGAAACTAACTTGAAGGGTAATAAACACTCCAGTTGTAGTATGCTTTTGAATATCAAATTAATGTAGTAACTACAATTCTGATAGTATCAACAGTGGCTTGAAGGTGTAAGTACTAGTGGTGTACTGCTTTAGCTATTGCCATACAGTGCCCGTTGCCCAAGAACTGTATGGCTTTAAGGTCTTAGGACTTCCCAAGGAATATAACGTACAATTTTCAATGAGATATTTAACAAAATTCTTTGAACTCTCATTTCTATCCTAAAAACACTAAACAATAGTTAAAACTACCACTTAATAAAATAATACCAGAAAAAATAGTCTGATCTCTGCAACTATCACTAGGCTAATCTTGTACTGTGGGTCGCATATTTTCTTACACACAGAGTCAAAATTTAAAGAAAATAATACTTTTCATCACTTTTCTTTCTAGGCAGAGTTTCTAAGGCATTTAATTTTCGAGTTTCTCCAGTACCATGAAGACTATCTGCAACACACACTACATGTCATCCAGCTGAAAACAAGAAAATGGTCAAATTTAAATTACATGCATTATTTATGACCTGTTATCAGTCCTGTGTTAGTGGCAATGCTTTTTACATTAAAATTACTATACAAGTAATACTGTATTGAGTAAGCTTAACCCTTAAACTGTCCAAACACAGATCTATGTTTTCACTGCCAGTGCTCCAAATATTTTGAAAAAAAAAATAAATTAAAGAGGGCAATTTTCTGTGTTTTAAGACCAAAAAAAAATAAAATTTAAGACCAGTACTTACCAAGATATAAGAGCGAAGTTGGCACTGGATGCTCACCTGACGGCAACATCGAGTCCTGCAGCTTGCTGATATAACTTTCTTTTTTTTATTATTATTTTATATATTTTTTATGTTCTGGTAATTACAATTTATAATAGTTCTTGTGATTTCATAACCAATCTTTGTTCTGACACTAATATTAGGTACTGAAATAGTACTCATATAGTCACAAACACACTGACAGGTGAACATTCTCACTTGCCTTGGTCATTTACTATTATCTAGAAATATATTCAAAGTATTTATAGATCCCAGCAATGTTTTAGACATGCTGGAGTATATATGAAACTCCTTGAAGCATGGTGTTTATGACAAGTCACTAAAACTGCTGACAGGGTAAACAGTGGTTTGACACTTGATGATCGTGCACTGCTGAAGGAAACCCTGGCTTTATTTGTTTTCAGTTACACAAAAACATGTCTATCTGTCTGTCTGTATCTGTCTAGCTCTGCTTATCTGTCCTTCTGTGTGTGTGTGTGTGTGTGTGTGTGTGTGTTTCTTTCCATCTGCTTGCCTGTGTGTATCGAAGCGGCTCGTAAACTTGTTGGCTTACGAACCGCTTCCTGAATCCTGAGCAAGCGAAAATGCATATTACTTGCATCATGCTTATTATGCCTTATATCTCCAAGCACTGTATAGCACTTTGCCTGGAATTTTTGGGTTATCCTAGGTAATTTATAGACAGATAGATACAGCTAAAGCCACCCAGCCAAAGTCAGCCACCCTAATACATACGACATTCTGGCAGGATGACACTACCAGTGGTATCAAAAATGAAAGGATCAACATCACTTTCCTCTTTAAAGGGGAGTGTTAATACGACATGACATTAGTGAATCCCTGGTGTTTGCCACGCTATTTGCTCTAGCTGGTGCTCAATTAAACTGGTGCTCCCACAAGGTACTAAGAGGTCCCAGATTTTTTTAATACTGCACACACCGAGTGTTAAGACCCATTCTATACTGACCAGGCATCTCAGGCCAATCATGCCAAATTTGGAGGCAGAAAAAATGAAACGTAGATCTACGTTTGGAGCACTAGCGGTACAAACATAGCTCTACATTTGGATAGTTTAAGGGTTAGAGATGACAAAAGATTATAAATTCAGATATAACACACTTAGTCAAAGTGACAGGAAAACCTTGCAAAACACTTAAGAAAATCATTTTTATGAAACATTCTGAAGAGCTGCAATTTTAACTTGATTTATTATATATATAGATATTTTATACTACCTTGCTATTCATAATCATAAAACATGATATAAAATGTGCTAAAATTAAACTAAATTCAATAAATAAAAGGCTTAATTACATTATATATCAACTACAAACTTGAACTAAAAATTATTTACTACCAACAGCAGTGAAGAGTTTTTACGAGGATAGTGAGGCTCAAGTTAGAGTATGTAGGAAAGAGGGAAATTTTTTCCCAGTAAAAGTAGGCCTTAGACAAGGATGTGTGATGTCACCGTGGTTGTTTAATATATTTATAGATGGGGTTGTAAGAGAAGTAAATGCGAGGGTCTTGGCAAGAGGCGTGGAGTTAAAAGATAAAGAATCACACACAAAGTGGGAGTTGTCACAGCTGCTCTTTGCTGATGACACTGTGCTCTTGGGAGATTCTGAAGAGAAGTTGCAGAGATTGGTGGATGAATTTGGTAGGGTGTGCAAAAGAAGAAAATTAAAGGTGAATACAGGAAAGAGTAAGGTTATGAGGATAACAAAAAGATTAGGTGATGAAAGATTGAATATCAGATTGGAGGGAGAGAGTATGGAGGAGGTGAACGTATTCAGATATTTGGGAGTGGACGTGTCAGCGGATGGGTCTATGAAAGATGAGGTGAATCATAGAATTGATGAGGGAAAAAGAGTGAGTGGTGCACTTAGGAGTCTGTGGAGACAAAGAACTTTGTCCTTGGAGGCAAAGAGGGGAATGTATGAGAGTATAGTTTTACCAACGCTCTTATATGGGTGTGAAGCGTGGGTGATGAATGTTGCAGCGAGGAGAAGGCTGGAGGCAGTGGAGATGTCATGTCTGAGGGCAATGTGTGGTGTGAATATAATGCAGAGAATTCGTAGTTTGGAAGTTAGGAGGAGGTGCGGGATTACCAAAACTGTTGTCCAGAGGGCTGAGGAAGGGTTGTTGAGGTGGTTCGGACATGTAGAGAGAATGGAGCGAAACAGAATGACTTCAAGAGTGTATCAGTCTGTAGTGGAAGGAAGGCGGGGTAGGGGTCGGCCTAGGAAGGGTTGGAGGGAGGGGGTAAAGGAGGTTTTGTGTGCGAGGGGCTTGGACTTCCAGCAGGCATGCGTGAGCGTGTTTGATAGGAGTGAATGGAGACAAATGGTTTTTAATACTTGACGTGCTGTTGGAGTGTGAGCAAAGTAACATTTATGAAGGGATTCAGGGAAACCGGCAGGCCGGACTTGAGTCCTGGAGATGGGAAGTACAGTGCCTGCACTCTGAAGGAGGGGTGTTAATGTTGCAGTTTAAAAACTGTAGTGTAAAGCACCCTTCTGGCAAGACAGTGATGGAGTGAATGATGGTGAAAGTTTTTCTTTTTCGGGCCACCCTGCCTTGGTGGGAATCGGCCGGTGTGATAATAATAAAAAAAAATAACAGCAGCATGGATAACTGTGTGTCCAATGTACTAGTATGCCTCACTAGCAAAAGTAAACAAAGGAACCAAGAGCTGTTGCTCCACCACCAGCAAACAGTGTGTGTAAGTGGTTCAAAGATGACTTATTCTGTCCAAATTTATTACAATTTTATGATACTAACAGTGGAATTCAGCCATAAATCACACTGAGTATATTTAACCCAGAAAAGTCAAACAATGAGAATAATTTCCATGTTTCGATGACTATTATACTATAAAATAATTGTAATCTTATAAATTTTTATTGTACATCACCTTAGAAGACCAAAATAGCAAAAAAGTAGAATAAAAAACAATTATACAGGACTGTATATATATATATATATATACTATATATATACAGTGGACCCCCCGCATAACGATTACCTCCGAATGCGACCAATTATGTAAGTGTATTTATGTAATGCGTTTGTACGTGTATGTTTGGGGGTCTGAAATGGACTAATCTACTTCACAATATTTCTTATGGGAACAAATTCGGTCAGTACTGGCACCTGAACATACTTCTGGAGTGAAAAAATATCGTTAACCGGGGGTCCACTGTATATATATATATATATATATATATATACGGCATACATATACACCCTGCCTTGGTGGGAGATGGTCAGTGTGTTAACTGAATAAAAAGAGTACTGTAAATATGCATACACTCTTCTCTAAAAATTAAGATAAAAAATTAAATGAAGGAAACACTGAGGTAAAAATATACAAACCAAATCTTCAACGTCGTCATTCTGAACTTGAGGAGCTGGGGCTGGCTGCTGTGACTGCTGTTCCAACTTCAGGAATTCTTCAGCTGCAGCTCTATCTACACTACTCCTCGCATTTTCTTCGCTGTTAATCATGCCAAGCCTACCTAAAGAACAAAAAATTATAGGCTTTTAAGTTATAAAATATCAATTTTCCTAATAGCACCTGGGTACAAGTGCAATATATTTAAGTCAGTCAGGTTATGTATCACCGAGTCTGACCAGTAAATGAGTGGGGAATATAGCCTCATCCTTGACTAAAGGAACTTTAATACTGAAGTAGCTTACTGTAAATTATGGGGTAATATCAAATACTTCAGCAAGAAAACCCCCCACAATATGTGCAGTTCTGCTTACATTTTGTGAATGGATAAAAATAGCAACCACTTCTTCGTTTGAAGGTTAAGGAAACATAAATGAAAGAATCGGAAGGAGTCTTCTTGGAAGAACTTGATGCCATACACGAAAAGAGCAGCTCAAACAAATTTAACCCCCTCAATGTTGAGACCCCTGCTTGAACTTGCTCTCAGTGTCAAAGAATTTAAAAAAAATTATTTTTTCTTATGAAATGATAATCTTTTTCCCAAAAGTACGAAATTTAATGGAAAACTTACGGAATTACGTTCTCACGAAGATAGCATTCTTGGCAATATTTACACATCAGAGATTTTGCCCACTTTAGCCCTATTTTTGGCCAATTCCATTGTTCCAGTCAACCAAACTCATAGCTATTTTGCTAGAGCTCCATTTGTTCTACCAAATGAGTACAAGAAACCACCCATTTACCTATTTCAACTACCCAATAAAGCTATCAGAAATTGGTAATTTGGCCAATTTCATACACAATTCAAGTAAGGCCAATTTCAAAATAGGGGCCAGAAAAAACAATGCAGACATTCCTAGCACTAAAATAACATTTTCTCTGTTCATTAGTCATGTCTCCAGGCCCCTCTTATACAGCAGGGCCCCGCTTTATGGCGTTTCGCTTTACGGCGTTCCGCTAATACGGACATTTCAAATTATGACCAAAACTCGCTATACGGCTCCCCCCACCTGTCTTTCTAATACGGTCACAGTGGCCCACCGAGTTTGTTTACATTCTCCCTGAGCACATCTTATTGTCTGGGAGATTCTGAAGAGAAGTTGCAGAGATTGGTGGAGGAATTTGGTAGGGTGTGCAAAAGAAGAAAATTAAAGGTGAATACAGGAAAGAGTAAGGTTATGAGGATAACAAAAAGATTAGGTGATGAAAGATTGAATATCAGATTGGAGGGAGAGAGTATGGAGGAGGTGAACGTATTCAGATATTTGGGAGTGGACGTGTCAGCGGATGGGTCTATGAAAGATGAGGTGAATCATAGAATTGATGAGGGAAAAAGAGTGAGTGGTGCACTTAGGAGTCTGTGGAGACAAAGAACTTTGTCCTTGGAGGCAAAGAGGGGAATGTATGAGAGTATAGTTTTACCAACGCTCTTATATGGGTGTGAAGCGTGGGTGATGAATGTTGCAGCGAGGAGAAGGCTGGAGGCAGTGGAGATGTCGTGTCTGAGGGCAATGTGTGGTGTGAATATAATGCAGAGAATTCGTAGTTTGGAAGTTAGGAGGAGGTGCGGGATTACCAAAACTGTTGTCCAGAGGGCTGAGGAAGGGTTGTTGAGGTGGTTCGGACATGTAGAGAGAATGGAGCAAAACAGAATGACTTCAAGAGTGTATCAGTCTGTAGTGGAAGGAAGGCGGGGTAGGGGTCGGCCTAGGAAGGGTTGGAGGGAGGGGGTAAAGGAGGTTTTGTGTGCGAGGGGCTTGGACTTCCAGCAGGCATGCGTGAGCGTGTTTGATAGGAGTGAATGGAGACAAATGGTTTTTAATACTTGACGTGCTGTTGGAGTGTGAGCAAAGTAACATTTATGAAGGGATTCAGGGAAACCGGCAGGCCGGACTTGAGTCCTGGAGATGGGAAGTACAGTGCCTGCACTCTGAAGGAGGGGTGTTAATGTTGCAGTTTAAAAACTGTAGTGTAAAGCACCCTTCTGGCAAGACAGTGATGGAGTGAATGATGGTGAAAGTTTTTCTTTTTCGGGCCACCCTGCCTTGGTGGGAATCGGCCAGTGTGATAATAACAAAAAATAAGTATATTTTATATGTATTGTACTTGATAATTAAACTTATGTACACCTGTACCTAAATAAACTTACACACTGTGCTGGCATGTAGGTACACATTAAAATCACAAAGAGTCTCTCTACTCTTGATGCAATAATAATAATAATAATAATAATAATAGTAATAATAATAATCTCTTGGGCGCATTAATGTCGCATATTACGTTAACCCTTTGACTGTCGCGGTCGTATATGTACGTCATGGGAGATACCGTGTTTGACGTATCTATACGCATAAATTCTAGCGGCTTCAAATCAAGCGGGAGAGGGCTGGTAGGCCTACACGAGAGAGAATGGGTCTCAGTGGTCGGTGTGCACCCTGTGAAAAAAATCTGGGACTCAGTGGTGCATTGTGGGAACGCCATCTTGGTAGTCCATTTTCACCATGCCTCGCGGTAAGAAGTTCCTCACTCCTCGGCGGATTGGAGGTCTTTTGTTCCCAAGTGATAGCTCAAACAGTGATGATAGTGTCAGTGAAAGTGAATTCCCTGGTTTTGAAGCGGGTGTGACTGAGAAAATTACCCAGGATAACATAATTAGTGATGAAAACCCAGATGACCCACAACCATCCACCTCTGGTGCTAGGCCGGCTCGTTCATATTCACCTGTACCAGGATGAAAGAGGAAACTATTTGCCCGTGTACAAGACTCAGATGTGAGCAGTGCAAGTGATAGTGATAGTGATTTCAAGGTTATTGAAAGCACTTCTAGTTGTGACAGTGAGGGTGAATATTCCCCAGTGAAACGGCAGTATATACGACGTCGCATGCGGTCTGGTAGTGTGCCATATGCTCTTCCAAGAGGAAGGAGTACATCTCGGAGCACATCCCATGGCCCTACACCACGTCCTGATAGTGAAGATGACGATATTGTTACGATGGGTATAAATGATGTGAGTGAGGCAGCAGGCGTGGTGGTGATAGTGACGGTGCCATGAGTCATGTGACACCAGCAGCGGGCCACGCTAGTGCCCGCGCTGCTGACTCTGCACAACTACAACCTGCTTCGGCCGACCCCACACTCTCACAACCACAACCACAACCATAACCTGCACAACCACAACGACATTACAATATCCAGAACGCACCAGCTGACCGCATCTGGATTGGCATCAAGATGACGAGTTTGTTCCCAATCCCCATGACTTTGATGGAGGACAAAGTGGAATACGGCCATCATGTACACTTGGGAACAATCCCACTGAACTGGAATGCTTTCAGTTGTTCTTCGATGAACCCCTGATGGACATTATTGTCAGGAAAGCAATACATACTATGAGTACACCATGGCAAACACTATGCTTTCACCAAGATCACGCCTACACCAGTGGAAGGACACAACTGTGGCAGAGATGTATCTGTTCTTTGCCACAATAATGCTTATGCCACATGTGTATAAGCATAGTGTCAGCACATACTGGGCGACAGAACCGCCTGATTTCAAACCCCTGCTTTCAGTGACATTATACCAGTGAATAGATTTGTGTTACTGTTACGTATGTTACGCTTTTCAGACAAAACCAGGCCTGACAGAAGCGACAGGTTATATAAGATCAGACGTGTGTTTATGTACCTGAAACAAAAGTGCTGTATGTAATTTTATCCCTTCAGGAAGCTTGTTATTGACGAGTCTTTGATTTTGTTCAAAGGAAGACTCTCATTCAAGCAGTACATACCAAGCAAGAGGAAACACTTTGGTATAAAGTTATTTGTTCTGTGTGATTGCAAAACTGGTCTGGTTTTGGATATAATTGTGTACACTGGCGGTAAAACAATGGAAGATACCAGGAAGTTACTGGGTATCTCTGGTGATGTGGTTAGAACAATGATGGAGCCATATGAAGATTGAGACACTTATGCAGCATATGGGAATCTTTATTCAGGAAACGTTTCGCCACACAGTGGCTTCATCAGTCCAATACAAAGAGGAAGGCGTAAGGAGAGGAGGAGAATGAGGTAATCAGTCCCTCAACCTGGAGTCGATGTGTTCAGTCCATCAATCTTGTAGAATATACAGCATAGGGCCGTAGACGTGGCTTATATACTGTAGTGAGTTGAGGTGAAGCAGGCGGAGGCAGGGTCATAGTGGTACCATCCACTAGTCGAAGTAGGTCTTCGTCCAAAGGTTGAACAAGTGTTGAAGAATTCTTTGTAACAAGATCCCATGATGCTGCAGTGTCTGACAGTTGTGATGAATGGTTTGAAAAACCGACAAGTTGAAGATTGAGACACTTATGCAGCATATGGGAATCTTTATTCAGGAAACGTTTCGCCACACAGTGGCTTCATCAGTCCAATACAAAGAAGAAGGCGTAAGGAGAGGAGGAGAATGAGGTAATCAGTCCCTCAACCTGGAGTCGATGTGTTCAGTCCATCAATCTTGTAGAATATACAGCATAGGGCCGTAGACGTGGCTTATATACTGTAGTGAGTTGAGGTGAAGCAGGCGGAGGTGGGGTCATAGTGGTACCATCCACTAGTCCAGGTTGAGGGACTGATTACCTCATTCTCCTCCTCTCCTTACGCCTTCCTCTTTGTATTGGACTGATGAAGCCACTGTGTGGCGAAACGTTTCCTGAATAAAGATTCCCATATGCTGCATAAGTGTCTCAATCTTCAACTTGTCGGTTTTTCAAACCATTCATCACATCACATGGAGCCATATCTTGGTAAGGGGCATATTTTATATACTGACAACTGGTACACAAGCCCTACACTCAGTGATTTCTTGCGAGTGAACATGACAGATGTGTGTGGCACAGTGCGTAGAAATCGTAAACATATGCCTAGGTTCGAAGCTGGCAGTCGTAGAGGTGAAGTGCAGGTGTTTGCTGCCAATGACATCATGGCATTTCGGTGGCATGACAAACGTGATGTCACACTGCTGACATCAGTTCACCGACACGAAATGGTAGAGACTGGCAAGCAGAATAGAGAGACCAATGAACCTATTGTAAAACCTGCAGCTGTGATGGATTACAACCTCAATATGCGCTTAGTGGACAAATGTGACATGCAGATTTGGGTTTGCTGACTGTGTTTGCAAGAGTTATAAGTGTACATAAAACTGTTTTTTCCATCTTCTTGACATTTCCATGCTGAATGCTTATAATATTGTATAAGTTGAAGACCAAGAACAAACCCAAATATGGTGAATTTTGTTTGTCAGTCATCAACAAATAATATTCAAGTACCAAGAAACAACACTGCAATGACCAGCGCCCACGAAATTATCAACACATGTCCTCTCGTCTGAGGCCTGGTGATCACTACCCCATACCACTGCCTGCTACTACTGCCAAGAAAAATGCTCAGAAGAGGTGTTTTGTCTGTGGACATACCACAAAACGCACACAAAAACGCAGAGACACTCGTTTTATGTGTGAGGAGTGGTAAGACACCTTGTGCTTATACCCATGTTTCAAAGAATTCCACAAGCTGCAGCACTTCTAATAAAGTGTCCAGTGATTGTAACATATGTATAAATATTATAAAGCAATCGTAATAAACATTTGTTTACATTGTTTGTTTGTGTAAACAAGTTTTAGCAACATTATAATGATACGAGTGTTTTGCTATAATTGTGTTACATTCAACGAGTGTATATTTGAACATTGCACAATAATTTGGTCTCACAGGCCACAAAAGTTATGTGAAAAAATAAAATAGTGAAAAAAACAAGAAACCATCGAATACAAGTAAATAAAAGTTTACCGGGTGAGCGGCAGTCGCCGCTGTTGCCGCCAGCAGATCAATTTCAGCAAACTTCAGGACTCTATATCTCGGTAAGTACTGATGGGAAAATTTTTTTTTTGGGACTAAAACAATCAGAAAAATAATCTCAACATTTTCATAAGAAAAAATAATTTTTTTTTTTCGAATATTTTGCGACACCAGGAGCAACTTCAGGATTGGGCCCTTCGACAGTCAAAGGGTTAATATAGACATTTCCCTTAATCTATGATATTTTTTTCAAAATTATATAAGAAACACATTATGTAACACACAAACATGATACATGTACCCACAGTATAAAAATTTATACAAATATATATGAGATGTTTACCAAACGGTTTGTAGAAGTGTCGGAAGAATTTAAACGTTTTCTCTAGCCCGTCCCTGTTACAAAGGGATAACTGTAGAAAAATTTTCCCTTTTTTGTATGCCTTCACTTTAAAGCAAATAATTTTCTGTACTAGTACACAGTGTAAGAGTATTTGTTTCGTGATTTAATTATTATAATAATAATAAAAATATTATAAGGTAAAAGTTTAAACAAACTCTTACAAATGTACATGAATGAACTAAAACTGGACACGTATTAAAAACCGTCTATTTCGCCTGACCAAGTGATCGTCCACAACCTGTTCATTTTGTTTGTTTACGCTGTCTGACTCGGTGTATCATTAAATGTTGTATATTACGTTAAATATACACATTTTCATTAATCCATCCGTGATATTTTTTTCAAAATTATATAATAAACACGATACATAACATAAATACATAACATATGTGTAGAGAACCTAGAAAACCCCCAAAAAAGTCAAAAGTGACTTACTTCCATTGCCTTCATCAAAGCTCATTTCTTCTCAAAATGATTTACATGAGAATGGGAGTGTTCTTCTTTATTTATTCTACCGTATCAATGTAGAGACAACCTGTACACAATGTAACTTGTACACAAACCAGACGTGTACACTGTTTACAAAACTTACCTTCGCCGTTTGTTACATAACTCTGCGCCTGTCCTCTCTCATGCACTCATTCTTTCTCTCTGGTATGGTACCTGGCTGACTACCATACATACCACACTTGATTTTTTACAATAAATACTACTCATCTCACCCTATATTTTAAGGTAATAATGAGTGAATTGTATATATATTTTATCGCTCTGGGATGCTTAAATATCATAGAATAGTATGTGTGGGTGGGGGGGCCTGGTATGGTAGCCTGGCTGACTACCAACATACCACACTTGATATTTTACAATACTACCATCTCGCCCTATATTTTAAGGTAAGTAATGAGTGAACTGTAATACATTTTAAACGCTCTGGATGCTTAAATATCATAGAAAAAGTATGTGTGGGTGGGGTGGCCTGGGGAAGGTAGCCTGGCTGACTAAACCCTACATACCACACTTGAAATTTCTTACAATAAAAAACTACTTGTCTCACCCTAGATTAAGACTAAAATATTTTTAAAGGGAAGTTTAATGAGTGCACTAAAGTGTGTATTGTACTTTTTTATTGTTTTTTGATGCCTGGTTCTATTGCTAACATAATATATGTTAGTGTAAACTTGTTATCTAGTGTTTGTATGCATTTGTAAGTGGAAAAAAAGGGTGTTCCACTTCACGGCGGTTTCCGCTTTACGGCGGTAGCCTGGAACCTAACCCGCTGTATAAGTGGGGCCCTCCTGTATTATGCTTGCTCTCCATTTTGAATTTTTATTCACACAAACAATAGAAGATTTTACTGTTATGCAGACTAATGCATTATTGTAAAAATGGTATAAATAATATCAGCGCATTTGTGAAAGCATATTAGACCCACCAGTTGACGTGTATTGGATGCGTGACGTAGTTTGTTTACTCTTGAACATCGGCAAAAATTGAACATTTCCGCTACTTTGAACTAAACTTTAAAGTACTTTTAGTCTGAAAACCATTCAAAATCACCTCAATTTCTGTAATATATCTTCCATTCTATCAAATGAGACCAAGAAGACGAGAATGCAACCATAAATACCATATGAAAATACACTGCAAATTCAGTGTTTTAAACCAAAAACACAGTCAGTTTTTTTTTTTTTCATTATGCACTGCGTGCTTCAGGATTTTTTTTTATACTGTGCACACTGGCCACTCAGACCTATTTTCTCAAGTGTATGCCTACCAGCTTTCTCCCACAAGACTGGAAGCCGCTAGAATTTTGGCGTAATATTACGGCACCAACACTGTCTTGCAAGCCGTAATATTATGGCATCGACAGTGAAAGGGTTAAGTATCGAGGACAAGGTTTGGTGTGCTGATGAACATCAAAAGCTAACACAGGAAAAATGTATGGACATAAGCACAATAAGAAAACAGTGTTAACATTTGTGGCCCAAGACTCCTCAACTTGCTTCCAGCAGATACATATAAATATGGCTGGAATACCTGTAGAGGTTTTCAAGAGAAAACCTCCACCAAATACCAGATCAGCCAGGCTATGTAGGCCAGCAGACTACAAACACAAACAGAAAAGTCTAGCCTTGGGTTGGGCTAAGAGAGCAGAACCACCCTTGAAACTGATCACAGGTATATCCTGCTCACTCGTATAACTTTCTTCTTTATAGGTAAGAAGTCCTGAATGTTCATTAAAAATATCAGAACAAAAATCAATTATAAAAGTGAAAACCTATAGTTTAAAAGTTACCAATAATGACAATGTCAGCAGCAAGTAAACAATTTAACACCATTTTCCAACATGGAATACAAGACAATCTAGAAGTCAGTTTAATATGCAATATGTATTGTATTTTGATACAAAAACTAAAAAAAAATGGAAATACTAGTTAAAGCTCAAATTTGAAATGACCTACTTTCTTTGACATGGTCCCAGAGGTCACTTAAAGACATGGAGGTTACAACCTCTTTCAGGCTGGAGAGAAATTTATTGTAGGTTGATGGATCTATGCTACAAGACTCCTGACGGAAGGTTGTCAAACAATCAATCACTTTAGTCATCATTGCAGCATTAGAACCACCTCCGCTTCCAAGACCGTCAATTAACTGGAGTACAACGTCTGCAAGCTGCTTACAAACTGAAAATTAAATAAATTAAATGATTCAGAAATGTCAATAAGAGAGACATTTTCTTCACACATCAGTTTCTCAAGATTATACATATCTATAATTAGTAACATTATGCAATTCAGTGCAAAATAGACACAGAGCAGGTTAAATGAAGAGCATTTAGAAGAAAAAGCCACACTACAGTGGTTGGAGCAATTCAAAACTAACCGATAAATTGGAGACAAATCTTTAGATAATGTTTCAGCCTGTTCTTCAGCATTATTCTAACATCTCTGTGGCTCATCTGTGTCTTTAACTTTTGGCTATGTCCACGAGTGCCTGTTTCTCGTGTACTCTCCTATATAGCCTTGTGGGTTCTATCATACCTCCTCTTAAAACTATGTATGAAGCCTACCTCCACTACTACTTCATTGAGATCATTCCACTTCCCAACCACTCAAAGACTGAAGAAATATACATGAACTTCCTGATATCTCTGTGGTTCATCTGTGTCTTTAACTTCCAGCTGTGTCCTTAGTTACCACTTCTCACCTTTCAAACAGCCAGTCCCTGTCTACCCTACCAATTCCTCTGACTATTTTGTATGCTATTATGTTCCGTGAGTCATGTGTTCCCTGGTTGATGGTGCTGGCACCCATGGGGGCTCTCATATTCTACTTCTATGTCAGACATTCTTTTTCTTTCAACAAACTGGCTGTATCCCACCAAGGCAGGGTGGCCCAAAAGAAATAACGAAATTTTTCCTTTTAAATTTAGTAATACGTACATACAGGAGAAGGAGATACTAGCCCCTTGCTCCCAGCATTTCAGTTGCCTCTTACAACACGCATGGCTTACAGAGGAAGAATTCTGTTCCACTTCCCCATGGAGATGAGCAGAAATTAACAAGAACAAGCACCAGTAAGAAGACAGAAGAAAACTCCAAGAGGTATGTATATATAAATGCTTGTACATGCATGTGTAGTGTGACCTAAGTGTAAGTAGAAGTAGCAAGATGCACCTGAAATCTTGCATGTTTATGAGACAGAAAAAAGACACCAGCCCTCCTACCATCATGTAAAACAAATACAGGTTTCTGTCTCACACTCACTTGGTAGGACAGTAGTACTTCCCTGGGTGGATGCTGTCTACCAATCTACTACTATGAACTCTATATATTTACGTAAGTCTTAAGCACCATACCAACCTACTACAAACTTGGCTCAACTCATACTAAATAGGAAGACCCTTCACAAGCCATAGGCCTCCTGTCCCCAACATATCTAATGGAGATAGTAGCCATTAGGTAAATTCAATTAAAAATATATATAAAATTTGAACTTCTTTCCTAATTTTTTAAATACTTGGACCATAATACATCTGATTCACAGCCTAAACTATCAACAAGATATACAAAACCAAGACTATACTTAGGTTGAAGTCGGGTGCTTCACCACCAAGGAGCGCCAAAAAGTCTTTGACTGGAGTAGCCGTGGTGACGTGAGTCACCAGAGAGCGAGTCAGGTCACTAGCACTCATGGTCTCATTCCCATCCTTCTTAGACTTCTTGTTGCTCTTGCCATCAGTACTGCACAAATCAAAATACCAAATAATGGTCACTATCCTTTCATATTCTATAATGATGGCTGAAGTGAAGATCTTAAGTATGCAGTATAAATACTGTCTATACATCTGACAGGCACAAATAATATACAGTAGACCGTCGTTTAACACGGTTTTGTCTGGCACATTTTGGTTATAGCATGACTGAAGAATTGCGGCATATTTTTGTTTAACACTTCGTAAAATTAGTTTAACACGGTTGCAGGAGATGAAAAAATTTTGACCTCGCGATCACCCGCTGGGTGGGATGGTCTTTGGGTTACACCATTGAGTCAACGAGTATCTTAGAAGCTCAGTGTGTTTATTTACATACATATTTTCTTGTTTTCATTGCCATTTGTTAAATCTGCCAAGCAATCATGGTGCTCAGTAAGAATACAAGTGTTCCTGCAAGTGACGAGAAAAGGTTTAAGCGTTCAAGTCTAGGAATTACGAAGAAAATCGAAATATTAGATAAGCTTAAGAGTGGCTCACGTGTGGTGGATATAATGAGGGCCTATGGCCTTAATGAAGCATCAGTTCGTACAATTAAAAGGAACGAGATGAATAACACACTGACTTGACTGAATAACTTACTGATTTGACTGAATGACTTACTGATTTGACTGAATGACTTACTGATTTGACTGAATGACTTACTGATTTGACTGAATAACTTACTGACTTCACTGAATACCTTACTGACTTGACTGAATAACTTACTGACTTGAATGAATGATTTACTGACTTGACTGAATAACTTACTGAATGACACACTGACTTGGCTGAATAACACACTGACTTGACTGAATGACAGTGACTTGACTGAATGACACTGACTTGACTGAATAACTTATTGACTTGACTGAATGACTTACTTGACTGACTTGACTGAATAACTTATTGACTTGACTGAATGACTTACTGACTTGACTGACTTACTGAAAAAGAGTGTATGTTTAACACATGGCACATAACATTTTCTGTAATGGTCGCGGTCACTTTTTTTTTTATCCCTCCCCGCCCTCCGATCTTCAATACCTCTCTATAATGTCAGATTTTAATTAATTCGTTTTTATCGTGCTTCTACATTATTTATGTTATACCTAATATTATTCTGGAATAAATATGATAGGTAGATAAACTTACTGATAGTAATTGTATTATTATACAATATTTTATAGTGCCGTGAGCTCACACCTCCACACCCTATGGTGATCCACGACTTACTGAGAGTCTGAGAAAGACTGCTGGTGCCTTCTTCCTCTCATAGCCCTGCCTACCCTTCAATACCTCTCTATATGTTAGTTTTTATTAATTTGTGCATCTTTATCATGCTTCTAAGTTATTTATGTTATACCTAATATTATTCTGGAATAAATATGATAGGTAGACATTATTTGATAGTAATAGTACAATTATACAATAACAAATCAAGAAGCAGTGCTTTGAAACAGGGTCTAGACCAGCTGATGATGCCTTACCATCAGCTGTATAATGTACTGCAGGGTAAAAGAGCCCAGAGATTCATTACAGAATTTATGCACACTCTAATACAACCATCGACTTCAGTACCAGAACCTCTATCATCCACTTCTGCCGACAACCAACAACCATGCACCTCAGTCCAGTAGGGCCGCACCATATCCATATCCACTATCTCCACAATCATCCACAAACACCATTACCCACAATTTAAGGTAAGAAATACTATTATTTCTATTGCATTTGTAGTCTTAAGCAGTAACATATCAAGACAATGCACTACAATTACATATTCACTTTTATTTTGTAAGATCTGTTGGTCTAAAAAAAAGCTGTTTGGCTTTTCGGGGGCTCCCAGAAACGTAACCCTATTTTTCCCATAAGTTCTTCAATTTGTCTAACACAGTTTTGACTGACACGGCGTTTTCAGGAACATAACTACCGTGTTAAACGACAGTCCACTGTACACACATACTGAACAAAAACTAAATATAAAAACATGGATACAAACACAAGCAGTGCTGAACAAAAGGTGCTTTCATAGTTCACAGGGAAACATTTTAATTCGTATATCACAACTATATACCAATTTCCTTTTTCCTACCTTGCAAACAGATCTTTGCTATCTCTTTTAGCTTTCACAATTTTCTTAGTTGGGAAAAGTGTCTTCAGGGATGATGCAACTTTGTCTCTTGCTTCACAAACACTCATTGGAGTCTCAAGTATATTCTGTATGAGAAGGATACCTCATCAGTCTACGTGCTACTAAAAAAGCTATACAATAATCAATGGAACATGATGAAGTAAAGGAATCATCTGAAATCTGATATCCATACATTTCTGGGCTGGTTGGTTAATTAAATTTTAAGCCCATTGAATACATAAAGGGCACTGAGGCTGCATGTCACCTTTACATAACTAGCTAAGGATAATTAAATCCCTAAAATAAGAAATAATATAAACTCTAAATCTCATGGGGAAGTGGAAAATTCTTCTTCCATAAGCCATGTGTATTGTAAGAGGCGACTGAAATACCGGGAGCAAGGGGCTAGTAATCCCTTCTCCTGCATGAATTACTAAATGCAAAAAGAAAAAAACTTTCATTTCTTCCTTTCTGGGTCACCCTGCCTTGGTGGGGATGGCCGGTGTATTATAAAATAAACTCTAAAGCGTATACATACAAAGAAAGATTCATCACCTAATGTATATACCCTTCTGTGCATATCTGGAAAGACAGCTCAAGAATGAATTATAAGAGGTTGGATAGATATGTGAGTGAAAATAGTTAAGTGTGAGAGGACCTGCCTAGTAGGCCAACTACAATGCTCCTCTATTCTTATGTTTTGAAATGCTTCCTTTTTTGGGTCAGCCTGCACTGGTGTGAAACAGCTGAATTAAAAAATTAACTCAAATTGAGCAGAAACATAAGTACAAACAAGTCCTTTACCATGTTTATGAATTGTATTTTCATAAGCAGAACCTCCTCTGCATGTTATCTGTTACACAGGAGGTAGTTTTTTACACATTTACAATTGTCTCAGACATCGAACAGTCTTTATTAACCACAATCCCTGAAACCTGCCACCCTTATGATATCAATATCAAGTAAACAGATGCAAGTACTGTATCTATCAACCACAATTTCTGTAACCTAACAAAATTAAGACATCTTTATTTTCTTTTTGTCTACACATTTTTACCTGATAATAAGAGATTTACTCATTTTTACCTGATAATAAGAGATTTATTCAGTTATGAACGCTATTACAAAATAATAAATGGAATTTTGAACAATACTAACAAGGGCAATTCCTGGCACACTGTATATATCAAATTCAAAAATCAACTTTTAAATAATCAAGATATGATCAAGGGGAAACTATTCAAATTATGTCATCTGTAGACAAGACAGAATGTTGAAAAGGTACAGTAATCTGAGATGGAACGGAGGAGGAGTCAGGGGTCATTCTAGGATGGTGTGGAGTGAAGGGGTAGAGGAGATTTCAAGTGCTAGGGGCTTAGATCATCCAGCAAGTATGTGTATGTTACTAAATAGGAATGAGTGAAGACAATTGGTTCTTAATGCTTGAGATGCTGTTGGAGTTTCAGCAAGGTAACATTTATGAAGGAATTCAAGGAAACTAGTTAGCCAAACTTGTGTCCTGAAACATCCCACCCTCTCCTGAAGGAGGGTCATCTGAATTTTCATGTCAGCACACTTCTAGCAGGATAGCAATTGAGTGAATGATGGTGAATGTGTTTCCTTTAATAGGTCACCCTACCTTGATTGGAAATGGCCGATAAGGCAAAAACAAAAAATTCTTACTACTAAAATTTATAATACACATTTTTTTTTTTTCAACAAGTCAGCCGTCTCCCACCGAGGCAGGGTGACCCAAAAAAGAAAGAAAATCTCCAAAGAGAAAATACTTTCATCATCATTCAACACTTTCACCACACTCACACATTATCACTGTTTTTGCAGAGGTGCTCAGAATACAAGAGTTCAGAAGCATATACGTATAAAGATATAAACATATCCCTCCAAACTGCCAATATCCCAAACCCCTCCTTTAAAGTGCAGGCATTGTATTTCCTAATTCCAGGACTCAAGTCCGACTATATGAAAATAACCGGTTTCCCTGAATCCCTTCACTAAATATTACCCTGCTCACACTCCAACAAATCGTCAGGTCCCAAGTACCATTCGTCTCCATTCACTCCTATCTAACACGCTCACGCACGCTTGCTGGAAGTCCAAGCCCCTCGCCCACAAAACCTCCTTTACCCCCTCTTTCCAACCCTTTCGAGGATGACCCCTACCCCGTCTTCCTTCCCCTATAGATTTATATGCTTTCCATGTCATTCTACTTTGATCCATTCTCTCTAAATGACCAAACCACCTCAACAATCCCTCTTCTGCCCTCTGACTAATACTTTTATTAACTCCACACCTTTTCCTAATTTCCACACTCCAAATTTTCTGCATAATATTTACACCACACATTGCCCTTAGACAGGACATCTCCACTGCCTCCACCCGTCTCCTCGCTGCTGCATTTACCACCCAAGCTTCACATCCATATAAGAGTGTTGGTACTACTATACTTTCATACATTCCCTTCTTTGCCTCCATAGATAACGTTTTTTGACTCCACATATACCTCAACGCACCACTCACCTTTTTTCCCTCATCAATTCTATGATTAACCTCATCCTTCATAAATCCATCCGCCGACATGTCAACTCCCAAGTATCTGAAAACATTCACTTCTTCCATACTCCTCCTCCCCAATTTGATATCCAATTTTTCTTTATCTAAATCATTTGATACCCTCATCACCTTACTCTTTTCTATGTTCACTTTCAACTTTCTACCTTTACACACATTCCCAAACTCATCCACTAACCTTGCAATTTTTCTTTAGAATCTCCCATAAGCATAGTATCATCAGCAAAAAGTAACTGTGTCAATTCCCTTCTGAATTTGATTCCCCATAATTTAATCCCACCCCTCTCCCGAACACCCTAGCATTTACTTCTTTTACAATCCCATCTATAAATATATTAAACAACCATGGTGACATTACACATCCCTGTCTAAGACCTACTTTTACCGGGAAGTAGTCTCCCTCTCTTCTACACACCCTAACCTGAGCCTCACTCTCCTCATAAAAACTCTTTACAGCATTTAGTAACTTACCACCTATTCCATATACTTCCAACATCTGCCACATTGCTCCTCTATCCACTATCATATGCCTTTTCTAAATCCATAAATGCAATAAAAACTTCCCTACCTTTATCTAAATACTGTTCACATATATGCTTCAATGTAAACACTTGATCTACACATCCCCTACCCACTTTGAAACCTCCTTGCTCATCTGCAATCCTACATTCTGTCTAACCTTTAATTCTTTCAATTATAACCCTACCATACACTTTTCCTGGTATACTCAGTAAACTTATTCCTCTATAATTTTTACAATCTCTTTTGTCCCCTTTCCCTTTATATAAAGGGACTATACATGCTCTCTGCCAATCCCTAGGTACCTTCCCCTCCTTCATACATTTATTAAACAAAAGTACCAACCATTCCAACACTATATCCCCCCTGCTTTTAACATTTCTGTCATGATCCCATCAGTTCCAGCTGCTTTACCCCCTTTCATTCTACGTAATGCCTCACGTACCTCCCCCACACTTATATTCTGCTCTTCTTCACTCCTAAAAGATGGTATACCTCCCTGGCCAGTGCATGAAATTACCGCCTCCCTTTCTTCATCGACATTTAAAAGTTCCTCAAAATATTCTTGCCATCTACCTAATACCTCCCACTCCCCATCTACTAACTCCCCTACTCTGTTTTTAACTGACAAATCCATACTTTCCCTAGGCTTTCTTAACTTGTTTAACTCACTCCAAAAATTTTTCTTATTTTCATTAAAATTTCTTGACAGTGCCTCTCCCACTCTATCATCTGCTCTCCTTTTGCACTATCTCACCACTCTCTTCACCTTTCTTTTACTCTCCATATACTCTGCTCTTCTTATAACACTTCTGCTTTGTAAAAACCTCTCATAAGCTACCTTTTTCTCTTTTATCACACCCTTTACTTCATCATTTCACCAATCACTCCTCTTTCCTCCTGCCCCCACCCTCCTATAACCACAAACTTCTGCCCCACATTCTAATACTGCATTTTTAAAACTATTCCAACCCTCTTCAACCCCCCCACAACTCATCTTTGCACTAGCCCACCTTCTGCCAATAAGTCGCTTATGTCTCACCCGAACTTCCTCCTCCATTAGTTTATACACTTTCACCTCTCTCTTACTTGTTGTTGCCACCTTCCTCTTTTCCCATCTACCTCTTACTCTAACTGTAGCTACAACTAAATAATGATCCGATATATCAGTTGCCCCTCTATAAATATGTACATCCTGGAGCCTACCCATCAACCTTTTATCCACCAATACATAATCTAACAAGCTACTTTCATTACGTGCTACATCATACCTTGTATATTTATTTATCCTCTTTTTCATAAAATATGTATTACTTATTACCAAATCTCTTTCTACACATAGCTCAATTAAAGGCTCCCCATTTACATTTACCCCTGGCACCCCAAATTTACCTACTACTCCCTCCATAACATTTTTACCCACTTTAGCATTGAAATCCCCAACCACCATTACTCTCACACTTGATTCAAAACTCCCCACGCATTCACTCAACATTTCCCAAAATCTCTCTCTCTCCTCAACACTTCTCTCTTCTCCAGGTGCATACACGCTTACTATAACCCACTTTTCACATCTAATCTTTATTTTACTCCACATAATCCTTGAATTAATACATTTATAGTCCCTCTTTTCCTGCCATAGCTTATCCTTCAACATTATTGCTACTCCTTCTTTAGCTCTAACTCTATTTGAAACCCCCTGACCTAATCCCATTTATTCCTCTCCACTGAAACTCTCCTACCCCCTTCAGCTTTGTTTCACTTAAAGCCACTTAATACACATACTAATACTAAAATTAATTCACCTAAACAGGGGTTGTAGCATATCAATATTTGCATGATTATAAAACTTTAAAATAATTTCATTATAAATTTATTAGGAATTAAACAATGAAAATAGCTGTCTACTAAATGATACAAACACAGATGACTCTAAAACGTTAACTTCCTTCTAACAGACCTTAGTTTACCTGAAAATTTTATTACAATTTCTAAAAACCAGTTTAGCCAAGCATGGTGATAGCAAGGGAAAGTGAGCTTACTAAAACATGAGTTGCAGGTGGAGGTATGGGATCATTGGGATGAAGAGCACGGTGGGTGAGTGTATTGAAGTAATGTTGCAACTGTGGGTTGAGAACACCCACTGGGGCCAATACTTCCTCATCATCTCTGAAAAAATTGGCCATTTTATTTATACTATACAAATAAATGCTAGACCTGATAACTTAAATATAGTACATTACTAGAGTACATACCTATTTGAAAGAAATGACATTTATTTTTTACTGGTTGACAGCTCTTTAACTATAATTTACAGTAAAACCTCTAATTAACCCGTAAACGGTCCAAACGTATATATACGTTTTTTCAACATTTGAAAGTATGTAAAAAAAGTAGATCTTTTTTTTTTTACATTTGAAAATGTGTAAAAAAAACGTAGATCTGCTTGGACCGTTTACGAGTTAACAGACTTTCATTTAATGGATTTTGGCAATTATGGACAAAAATATCGGCTGGACAAATGGAAGCATTTGACAAACTGGGAAGAGTCTGTAATTCCAATACAGTCAAGTTGTCTTCCGAATCATCCAACCAAGTCTGATGACTCTGATGATTGTCTGGTGCAGGCTAGAGCAGCCACATCCAGGACCTGTCTGTTTTCTTTCTCCACTGAACCATAGGCTACCCACTCACATTTACACTCATCATTCAGTCTCCAGTTTTGCCCTTGATTTACAGTGTTTTGTGTAACTATATTAACCTATTAAATAAAGTGCAATTAACAAGTAGTGGTGCCAAGAGGAAATGTGCGGTTCCTATTGTTAAGCAGGAATTTGAACTAGTGAAGGAAGCCGAGTCTGGTATCTCAGCAGCACAAGTATGTGAGGAATATATTAAAAAATAAACAGTATCTAATATCCACAGAAGCAAGAACACACTTACAGCTTTACTCTTAAGTTTTGTATAGATGCTAGCTAAACTCAGAATAAAAGCTATTCTGAATCACCACTATCGATCATGGCAATTCACATCTCATCTCTTCATCATGAAAAGTTAAGTAAAATTACTTAAATTACATACAGTACTATAAAATAACTATACAGTACAGTACTTTATAACATATATACAGTATAGCACTGTGCTGTAGTATTACAGATTATAATACCTGTATTCTTAGTGTCCATTCATTAAAATAAATTTCATAATTCTCAAGTTTCAGGCACTCTGCAATATCTCTTCATACTAGCACAGCTGATTCAATATAATGGTTACATATTCAGGCAACTAAGTCATGTTAAACTTAGCATTTGGTTAATTTTATCACTAAATGTCACGTGATGTATAAATTGTACACGAGAACATAATTTGGTTGGAGTTTGCTTAATATTTTCTTATTAATCATGTAGCAGGATCCACTATTAGCTTCCTGTCATCTATGTTTATTAAAGTAAAAAATATTTTAATCAATATAAGTTTTTATATCACTAATGCCTATACGTATACGTACACATACATTACAGTATTTGTACAATATTTATTATGCTCACTTAGTTGTATGCTCAAAATACTCTACATAAACATGCTTTCCATATAACTTATTAGGTATCAAGTTTTTGTAATAACTATGTACATTGTGGAAATGAACTACAGTGGACCCCCGGTTAACGATATTTTTTCACTCAATAAGTATGTTCAGGTGCCAGTACTGACCGAATTTATTCCCATAAGGAATATTGTGAAGTAGATTAGTCCATTTCAGACCCCCAAACATACACGTACAAACGCACTTACATAAATACACTTACATAATTGGTCGCATTTGGAGGTAATCGTTATGCGGAGGTCCACTGTATTACCATTAATACTGTTTAAATCTTGGAGACTTACTATCAGAGAGATTCTTGAAATAATCACAGTTTATTGTGAACCAAATCTTATTTAGTTCACAAGGACCAAAACAAACATCTTCTCTTCCATACTAAGCTTAGAGCCCCATTACAATTACTGGGAGCAGAAAATGTAAGTTGTCAAACAATCCAAGAGGAAAACTCTAAATAGTGGACAATGGCACAAAACATGCAGCTTCATACAGCACTCAGAGGTACCTGAGGGCAAGAGATGCGTAGAAGGTGCTGCTAACACTTGTGTGAGCTGCCTGACAAATGATCAACCTCAGTAACATTGCCCATAGGCTGTGTAGGCTGTCTAATGCAAGAGAAAATGATGCAGCAATGAAATTCATTGATTTATTTTGTGGTTTTGGCTAAACGATTTCTTATTCAGGCCCTGTACGGTAAAGACTATCTTGTACTGTCCAGCCGAAATAGCTTTCTTCTGCTATTTTCTTTTTTATATATCCACTTGAAGATTTTCTGTCTTTGATGGATCAAAGACAGATATAAAAATGAGAAACTATAGTGGGGTGAGTACTGTGCCCAGAGCCATCTAGCAGTACTCCCCTAGACTGTACCACTGGTTAACAGCAAATATATTCCAACCAATGTCTGGTAATCCATTGCCTTACAATGGGCCCAACTAAAACATGCTAGAAGCACATTGAAATACCTTCAGTATTTTAATAACCAAATACTAAAAGATTAAGAGCTACAAAAAAACAAATACAGTACAGACTTAGTACACAAACTGCAATACAATAGGTAAATTAGCTTAAAGTTCCTGGCATTTTAAACACATCACTTGCACAGACAATTATTGTACTTACTCTTCTTGGCAAGTGAGGTCCATGGAAGATATTAAATCATCCATTATTTGAATCTCACTATCATTAAGCTTCTCTATAATATGCTGAAGGGGAGGAAACGTGTAGACTCGAACATCTTCCTGGTATGGTAATGGTATCCATATGAGGCACTGTAAGGTGACAAAGTTTTAAAAGTACAGTATGTATTACCCATACAGCACAATTACTAATACACTAGAAATTATCGAAGTTATAAAGTATTACCTGGTAAAAACACACAAATACCATTATATGGAATTCTTTATTAATGTCATTTTCCCAACATTAGTGGGCTTCATCAAGGCACAAGCAAATAACTTAATAAGAGGTGAACATATAGAGTAGAAGTGAAGTGGTATATATGCATCAGGTCACACTGATTCTCAAGCATCCAAGTAATGATACCTAAAGAAAAAAGGTGCCTTGAATCTACACTCATCAACAATTTTGCTGAACCTCATACAAGAAAATTACTTGGATGCTTGGATATCAATGTGACTGACCTGATGCACACCCCCACTTGCTCTTCACCTCACTACTACTCACTATTCATATGTTCACCAATTTCAACTCTTTAACCAAAGGTTTGTTAAGTAGGGGGAGGAAGAAGGATGGGTAAGAATGGAATGTGGGAGAGAGGCAGATGGGGGGTGAGGAGAGGGGGTAATAAAGGTAAGTGGCCCAACCACTTTGGTACATATTAATATAGGTGTGTGTGTGTGTGTGTGTGTGTGTGTGTGTGTGTGTGTGTGTGTGTGTGTGTGTGTGTGTTAGGCATAATAATCAGATGATCGTGTATACCACACCACCCATCACACACACACTTGTATATGAGATGCAAACATGCATGGCAGCAAATTAGTGATGGTACACTTTGTAAATGCCATTTTTTGGGGGGGATGGGGCAGGAGGCAAATTGTTCGGGCTGTTGTGGGGTGCTTTCTGGAGCTGGTGGTCAGCTGATCTGATTCTGAAGCGGTGTCCTACCATAGGTGGTTTTCAGATTTGATGTAAGGTATCCAAAGTAAGGGTGGTTATAGCTGTCTAGAACATAAGATTGGCTGTGGAGGTACCCATTCTACCATATCTTCAGGGAGATCACTCAGAATCTTTGGTCTTGCAAAGTCTTTTTTGTGTAAGAAACATTGGACTCTCTGTTGGAGGGACCTCCTGTTGGTCCTATGAGGTGTACTGATGATGTAGTCAGTGGTTTAGTTGGCTGGGGTAGGTTTCCTGTCTGGTACATAGAGTTGTCACTTCTTTAGTTTGTCAAGCCTGTCATTTATTGTGTTGATCTCCTGTTGGGTGTGCAGATCTTCCATTCTGACTCTCTCTCTCAATCTAGTGCCTGTGATAAAGCAGAGTGCCTTTTTTTTTTAACAACACAGGCACAAAAGAAATTCAAGCAGAGGTCTTATCATCATTGTATACAGGTGCTTTCTGATATGAAAGGAGGCCTAATTAAACCTGTATAGTTGGCTGAGATGGACACATGTTCACTTTCTCCTACCAAGTTCATCTGTTTGTGACTTGATAAAGACCACTTGAGTGGGTAAAATATCATCAAAAAGGATTCCAAATAACTGAATTTGTCTCTTTACCATGAAGTCAGTATCTTTAGACATCCTACAATATTACCTACAGAGCATAACATACAAGACATTGCAGGATGCCAGTTATCATATAATGGTTTTACCTATACAACACTATCACTGACACACTACAAGAAGACAAAGTTATAACAATATCACCCATAAATAAGATTAGAAGAGAGCAAAGTTATTACAGTATTTCTTACACATAAATGATTACCTCATAGTTTGTTGTAATATCAGGAAAAAGCACACCCATAGTAGGATTGCTATTCTTGTTGTAGATTCTCCTGGTAATGGCCACCATATCCAGTTCTTCTAATGCTTGTATTAAAGAGGAGAGAGCCACAGCTGCTGCCTGAAAATTTGTGTACATATTTATTTTAATATAGAACTGCAAAACCTGCATGGATTATACAACACCCAGACAATAGAAGGCAACTCTCTTGAAGGAATAAAATTTATAGTTTTCATAGTACAATAAATAATTAAAAAAAAAACAGAAAATGGAGCACTTTAATTAAACACTTCAGAGATCTAATAAATAACTTTTTTTTAATACGTCAGCCGTCTCCCTCAATCTTAATTTTTGATCTAAGAAAACCTGTTCTTTGTATGACTTACTATCCAAAATAATGGGATGCTTCCTAAGTGTTAATGTGCTTTCATATCTACATGCCATGAAAAGTCTCATAGTGTACAATATGGACAAGACCTGGACAATGGGTAAAGTTTAATTTTTTTTTTCAAAATTTTACTACACAAGAGGGAATTAAAGATGCAGGACATGCCACAGTTGAAGGGTTAAATCAAAGTTTCACAGTAGTTGTAAAGCATTATTGCATAATTATCATTATAGTGGGAGTGCTAAACCTTTATGGGTCATACAGCTCCTGGGGAATAAGAGGTAATCAGGTACACTTCAATGAAGGGAAGGACAGGTCAAATTCCTAGGATCAAGTGCATCCTCACCACCTACAAGGTACCTCCCATGAAGGAAGCTGCCAAATTGTAAAACAGGTTACCCAAAGAACAGTTTTAAAAAACCCATCAGAATTAATATCTAAATCAGTGATCCCTGACCTATTATTTGTTGCAGCCCTAAGTTGGCCACCCACAGGACATTAGTACTCATGTTAACCCCCTAAGTGTCGGTCCTGTAGTACTACGGCTTTCGAGCCAGGGTCGATCCCAGTTCTAAACCATGAGTTCAACTCACTTAGATAAGTTGTGAGCGGTAAATTTGGGCCTAGATATAGGAGAATGGATCTATGCAGTAAGTGTGCACTATACAAAAAAAAAAAATCCTGCAGCAAGCAGTTCATGAGGAAAAAACTGCGACTCGTGTTTTTGGTTTAAAACAGCGATTTTGCAGTGTGTTTTTGTATGGATTTATGGTTGTATTCTCAGTTTTTTGGTCACATTTGATAGACTGAAAGATATATTACAAAAATAGATACAGTTCTGACTGATTTCAGGACTGAAAGAAGCTTGAAATGTTAAAATTTTGCTGATATTCCAGAGTACACAAATGACATCACTCACCCAATACGTGTCAATCTGTCCAGTCTAATACACTTTTAGGAATGCAGTGACATTATTTATACAATTATTACAATATTGCACTAGTCTGTATAGCAGTAAATTTTCTATTTTTTGTTAAGAAAAATTCTAAATAGAATTAATGTGTAATGTTGGAGAGATCTGGGGACATAACTAATGAACAGAGGAAATATTATTTTAGTGCCAGGAAAGTTTGCACTGTTTATTCTAGACCTTATTTTCAAACAGGCATTTCTTGAATTTTGTGTGAAATTACAAATTTCTGGTACATAGTTGAAATAATTGAATGGACAGTTTCTTGTACTCAGTTGATAGAATGGAAGGCATACTAGTGAAACAGCTAAGAATTTGGTTGACGTGAATAATGTAACTGGCCTAAAATTAGACTCAAAGTGGGCAAAATTGCCAATGCATAAATATCGCTGACAGTAAAATTTGTGAAAGTGTAATTTTGTTAGTTTCCCATCAAATTTGGTACCTTTTGTTTCACCTTCAGAAAAAGATTCTCTACCACTGTATAAGAAAAACTAAAAAAATTTTTTTAATTTTCCAACCCTGATAGTAAGTTTGCAGGGGTTCCGACCCTCAAAGGGTTAAAGACAATTTGTAATGATTTTTATTATTTAAACAATTAGTTACAAACATTTTAAAACTATTTTATGTAAATTCAAGCAAAAGAAATTATTGAGTACTCTAAAATACACAGATGCACAAAGAACACCTATTAATGCCGAACTTGAGTACTAGAAATGGGAAGTACAATGCCTGCACTTTAAAGGAGGGGTTTGGGATATTGGCAGTTTGGAGGGATATGTTGTGTATCTTTATACGTATATGCTTCTAAACTGTTGTGTTCTGGGCACCTCTGCAAAAACAGTGACTATGTATGAGTGAGGCGACAGTGTTGAATGATGATGAAAGTATTTTCATTTTGGGGATTTTCTTTTCTTTTTGGGGTGACCTGCCTCGGTGGGAGACAGCCAACTTGTTAAAAAAAAAAAAAATATTAACAAACAAAAAATCTGTATCTGAACAGTATATACAAAACAATAAAAAATACTTAAACCTAAGAATCCTTTCAAATTTGGTCTACCCTGATGTTATATTTTTCTGAATGAGTTAAGTTATCCTCAGCTGAATAATGGCAGAGAGGACACAGTGCAGGCCATGTTGCAAGTCAAAAAATCTTGCACGTATGTTGATTGATGGAAGGCAGAGCATATGCCCGGTGGTCTGGTGGCTTGTGGCCCGGTGGTCTGGTGGCTAAAGCTCCCGCTTCACACACGGAGGGCCCGGGTTCGATTCCCGGCGGGTGGAAATTCCGACACGTTTCCTTACACCTATTGTCCTGTTCACCTAGCAGCAAATAGGTACCTGGGTGTTAGTCGACTGGTGTGGGTCGCATCCTGGGGGACAAGATTAAGGACCCCAATGGAAATAAGTTAGACAGTCCTCGATGACGCACTGACTTTCTTGGGTTATCCTGGGTGGCTAACCCTCCGGGGTTAAAAATCCGAACGAAATCTTATCTTATCTTATCTCTTATGCCGTGCTGCAAAACACAGTACAGTGGACCCCCGCATAGCGAACGCCTTGCATAGCGAACATTCCGCATAGCGAACGCTTTGATCGCATAAAATTTTGCCCCGCATAGTAGACAAAAACCCGCTCAGCGAACTTCGTCCGAGACGCGTCCAATGTGCGGCCTCAGCCAGCCTCACATGTGCCGCCTGTCCCATTGTTTACCAGCTAGCCTCCGCGGTAACATTCAAGCATACACTCGGAATATTTCGTATTATTACAGTGTTTTCGGTTCTGTTTGTTGAAAATAAGTGACCATGGGCCCCAAGAAAGCTTCTAGTGCCAACCCTGTGGTAAAAAGGGTGAGAATTAGTATGGAAATTAAGAAAGATTTTGAAGGGTTTGGGGCTAACCCTGAGAAGCCTATGCCAGTTGTGGAATCCATTGTGCCTACTTCAAAAATTAAGGAAATGTGTGCACAGTGGGTTGAACTGCAAACCTTTATGGATGAAAATCACCCTGACACAGCTGTTGCAAGGCGTGCTGGTGACTATTTCAATGACAATGTTATGGCCCATTTTAGACAAATCGTAAAGGAACGGGAGGTACAGAGCTCTATGGACAGAAAGAAGTCCAGTGACTCTGAAGCTGGTCCTAGTGGCATTAAAAGAAGAAGGGAAGTAACCCCGGAAAAGGACTTGCCTCCTCAGTGTTAATGGAAGGGGATTCCCCTTCTAAACACTAACACTCTCTCTCCCCTCCTCCCATCCCATCAATCATCACCAGATCTTCAATAAAAGTAAGTGTCATGTAATTGTGCATGCCTTTTTCAGTTTGTGTGTACTAAAATTAACATTTTTTTGTGGTAAAAAAATTTTTTTTTCATACTTTTGGGTGTCTTGCACGGATTAATTTTATTTCCATTATTTCTTATGGGGAAAATTAATTCGCATAGCGAACATTTCGCATAACGACCAGCCCTCTTGCACGGATTAAGTTCGCTATGCGGGGGTCCACTGTACTGTAGATTATGCTGAGGGTCACAATACAAGTCACGCTGCGGTTCACACCACACGTCACTCTGCGGTTCACACCACACGTCACTCTGCGGTTCACACCACACGTCACGCTGCGGTTCACACCACACGTCACGCTGAGGTTCACACCACACGTCACGCTGCGGTTCACACAACACGTCACGCTGCGGTTCACACCACACGTCACGCTGCGGTTCACACCACACGTCACGCTGCGGTTCACACCACACGTCACGCTGCGGTTCACACCACACGTCACGCTGCGGTTCACACCACACGTCACGCTGAGGTTCAACCACACGTCACGCTGCGGTTCACACCACACGTCACGCTGCGGTTCACACCACACGTCACGCTGCGGTTCACACATCACGCTGCGGTTCACACCACACGTCACGCTGCGGTTCACACCACACGTCACTCTGCGGTTCACACCACACGTCACGCTGCGGTTCACACCACACGTCACGCTGCGGTTCACACCACACGTCACGCTGCGGTTCACACCACACGTCACGCTGCGGTTCACACCACACGTCACGCTGCGGTTCACACCACACGTCACGCTGCGGTTCACACCACACGTCACGCTGCGGTTCACACCACACGTCACGCTGCGGTTCACACCACACGTCACGCTGCGGTTCACACCAACACGTCACGCTGCGGTTCACACCACACGTCACTCTGCGGTTCACACCACACGTCACGCTGCGGTTCACACCACGGGTCACGCTGCGGTTCACACCACGGGTCACGCTGCGGTTCACACCACGGGTCACGCTGCGGTTCACACCACGAGTCACGCTGCGGTTCACACCACGGGTCACGCTGCGGTTCACACCATGAGTCACGCTGCGGTTCACACCACGGGTCACGCTGCGGTTCACTCCCTGGGTCACGCTATGGTTTGCACCACAGGTCATGCTGCAGTTCACACCACAGGTCATTCTGTAGTTCACACCACAGGTCATGCTGTAGTTCACACCACAGGTCATGCTGTGGTTTGCACCACAGGTCATGCTGTGGTTCACACCACAGGTCATGCTGTGGTTCACACCACAGGTCATGCTGTGGTTCACACCACAGGTCATGCTGTGATTCACACCACAGTTCATGCTGTGGTTCACACCACAGGTCATGCTGTGGTTCACACCACAGGTCATGCTGTGGTTCACACCACAGGTCATGCTGTGGTTCACACCACAGGTCATGCTGTGGTTCACACCACAGGTCATGCTGTGGTTCACACCACAGGTCATGCTGTAGTTCACACCACAGGTCATGCTGTAGTTCACACCACAGGTCATGCTGTAGTTCACAACACAGGTCATGCTGTGGTTCACCACAGGTCATGCTGTGGTTTGCACCACAGGTCATGCTGTGGTTTGCACCACAGGTCATGCTGTGGTTTGCACCACAGGTCATGCTGTGGTTTGCACCACAGGTCATGCTGTTTTTCACACCACAGGTCATGCTGTGGTTCACACCACAGGTCATGCTGTGGTTCACACCACAGGTCATGCTGTGGTTCACACCACAGGTCATGCGGTGGTTCACACCACATGTCATTCTGTGGTTCACACCACATGTCATTCTGTGGTTCACACCACAGGTCATGCTGTGGTTCACACCACAGGTCATGCTGTGGTTCACACCACAGGTCATGCTGTGGTTTGCACCACAGGTCATGCTGTGGTTCACACCACAGGTCATGCTGTGGTTCACACCACAGGTCATGCTGTGGTTCACACCACAGGTCATGCTGTGGTTCACACCACAGGTCATGCTGTGGTTCACACCACAGGTCATGCTGTGGTTTGCACCACAGGTCATGCTGTGGTTCACACCACAGGTCATGCTCTCAGTAGTAGTAACCAGTTACCAGTAACCAGTGTACCAGTAGTTGACTCACTACCAACCGTCTCTGCCTGAGTCACTGTCTATTCATATTATGCTGACCACAGCAGTATTCAAAGACCCCCTCACATATGGGTACTGTGGGCGGCCAGTCAGTCTTACGAGAGTGAGCAGAGAGACAAGGTTACGGCTGTTAGGGCGCTCCCCACATTATCTGTAATTATACGTACTACCAGCCTACGTGAGTATTACTTTACCCTATCCACGTATCGAACTCCCACATGATAATGCTGTGGTTCACACCACAGGTCATGCTGTGGTTCACACCATAGGTCATGCTGTGGTTCACACCACAGGTCATGCTGTGGTTCACACCACAGGTCATGCTGTGGTTCACACCACAGGTCATGCTGTGGTTCACACCACAGGTCATGCTGTGGTTCACACCACAGATCATGCTGTGGTTCACACCACAGGTCATGCTGTGGTTCACAGGTCATGCTGTGGTTCACAGGTCATGCTGTGGTTCGCACCACAGGTCATGCTGTGGTTCGCACCACAGGTCATGCTGTGGTTCGCACCACAGGTCATGCTGTGGTTCGCACCACACGTCATGCTGTGGTTCGCACCACACGTCATGCTGTGGTTCGCACCACACGTCATGCTGTGGTTCGCACCACACGTCATGCTGTGGTTCGCACCACACGTCATGCTGTGGTTTGCACCACAGGTCATTCTGCGGTTCACACCACAGGTCATGCTGTGGTTCACACCACAGGTCATGCTGTGGTTCACACCACAGGTCATGCTGTGGTTCACACCACAGGTCATGCTGTGGTTCACACCACAGGTCATGCTGTGGTTCACACCACAGGTCATGCTGTGGTTCACACCACAGGTCATGCTGTGGTTCACACCACAGGTCATGCTGTGGTTCACACCACAGGTCATGCTGTGGTTCACACCACAGGTCATGCTGTGGTTCACACCACAGTCATGCTGTGGTTCACACCACAGGTCATGCTGTGGTTCACAACCACAGGTCATGCTGTGGTTCACACCACAGGTCATGCTGTGGTTCACACCACAGGTCATGCTGTGGTTCACACCACAGGTCATGCGTGGTTCACACCACAGGTCATGCTGTGGTTCACACCACAGGTCATGCTGTGGTTCACACCACAGGTCATGCTGTGGTTCACACCACAGGTCATGCTGTGGTTCACACCACAGGTCATGCTGTGGTTCACACCACAGGTCATGCTGTGGTTCACACCACAGGTCATGCTGTGGTTCACACACCACAGGTCATGCTGTGGTTCACACCACAGGTCATGCTGTGGTTCACACCACAGGTCATGCTGTGGTTCACACCACAGGTCATGCTGTGGTTCACACCACAGGTCATGCTGTGGTTCACACCACAGGTCATGCTGTGGTTCACACCACAGGTCATGCTGTGGTTCACACCACAGGTCATGCTGTGGTTCACACCACAGGTCATGCTGTGGTTCACACCACAGGTCATGCTGTGGTTCACACCACAGGTCATGCTGTGGTTCACACCACAGGTCATGCTGTGGTTCACACCACAGGTCATGCTGTGGTTCACACCACAGGTCATGCTGTGGTTCACACCACAGGTCATGCTGTGGTTTGCACCACAGGTCATGCTTTGGTTCACATCACAGGTCATACTGTGGTTCACACCACAGGTCATACTGTGGTTCACACCACAGGTCATGCTGTGGTTCACACCACAGGTCATGCTGTGGTTCACACCACAGGTCATGATGTGATTCACACCACAGGTCATGCTGTGGTTCACCACAGGTCATGCTGTGGTTCACACCACAGGTCATGCTGTGGTTCACACTACAGGTCATGCTGTGGTTCACACCACAGGTCATGCTGTGGTTCACACCACAGGTCCTGCTGCAGGTAAAGATGAGATCTTGCTAATTTTGACTGCAACCAGACAAGAAACTCCTGCCTCACAATGATAGACCTGTGACAATAACACAATCAAATTCCTTTTGCAAAACTTAATGTTACTAAAGGTCAAGAAGTTGTTCTGGGAATCCACAGATTTTTTCCTAACCTTTGAACATCTGAATCAAAAGCATTTCTTACTTAATTGTGCTTCTGTAAATTAACATTCAAACTTCACGAAGCTTAAGTTGTGTAAGTTGCATAAAAAATAATTGCAAGACCATCATGAGCCTGATGGGAATTCTCAACCCTGATTTGTCTAGGTTGGAAACCACTGACCTAAACAATTTCATAAAATATGTGCACCGAAAGACAAATTAAAATATTGATATAAAATAACAGATGCAATATCAGTGCACAAGTTTGCCTCAGCCATCAACAAGGCAAGTATTAAAGCACTTGATCCTCTGCTATAATATGCATCATAAAATTAAATTTAAAACAGGTTGCAATTCTATCCAGCTCACTAATACTATTTAATGATAAGGTTAGTTATAATATCATAATTGTTCAATGTCAAAAAATATTTATTTTTCTAAAATACACATTTAACAATACTTTACATACTTGTAAAAGAGCCAGCTTATCTCTGTACTAACCTCATGGCCCTCTTGAGCAGTGATGACTAATACTTGGTCCCCGGCCCGTCTCTGATGAGACACATTGCATGACTTCGTAAATCCTAATACACTAAGACTGCGAGGACTGTTTGAATGGTACTGCATTTGTGCATCCTCATCTGTCAACAGTCATTAAATAAAAGAATATAATACCTAAGTTAATCAAATACAAACCTGTGACAAAATATATAGTAATGGTAATATAGCTTATTTAATTTTTTAACATGACATCCATCTCCCATAAAGTTCAACCAAGAAAAAGAGGAAGCATAGACAAGCATATACAGTATATACACACCCCTCTGGGTTATCTTCTATTTCCATACTAGTTCTTGTTCTTTTTTCTTTCCTCTTATCACCATGGGAAAGTGAAACAGAATTCTTCCTCCGTAAGCCATGCATGTCATATAAGGCTAGTAACCCCTTCTCCTGTATATATTACTAAATTTGAAAGGAGAAATTTTTGTTTTTCCTTTTGGGCCACTCTGCCTCGGTGGGATACAGTTGGTTTGTTGAAAGAATAATGATAATCCTAGGTAGTAGGTTGGTAGACAGTAACCACCCAGGGAGATACTACCGTCCTGCCAAGTGAGTGTAAAATGGAAACCTGTAATAGTTTTACACGAGAGTAGGATTGCTGGTGTCTTTTTTTCTGTCTCATAAACATGCAAGGTTTCAAGCATGCCTTGCTACTTCTACTTACACTTAAGTCACACTAAACATGCATGTACAAGCATATATATATACACACACCCATCTGGGTTTTCTTCTATTTTCTTACTAGTTCTTGTTCTTGTTTATTTCCTCTTATCTCTGCAGGGAAGTGTAATAAAATTCTTCCTCCTTAAGCCATGCGTGTCATAAGAGGCGACTAAAGTGCCAGGAGCAAGAGGCTAGTAACTCCCTGTCCAGTAAAAATTACTGAATTTAAAGAGAGAAACTTTCGTTTTTCTTTTTTTGCCACCCTGCGACAGTGGGATACAGCCAGTGTGTTAGAAAAAAATAGTAATAACACAATCAACCCTCCTTCAGAGTGCAGACACTGTAGTTCCCACCTCCAGGACTTTAGCCCAGCTAACCAGTTTTCCTAAATCCCTTCATAAAAGGTTTAATTTTCTGAAGGTATAAAAATGATAATATCAGCAAACATACTGTATGCTCTAATATAAAAAAATACTATAATAAAAAATACAATGTTATTTTCAGCAATAAAGCAATACTTATAATGTATTCAATGCCAAGGAAAGAAACAAGACCTGAGAGAAATCAAGGGAGCTTGGGTAATTATCAATAAGAGCATCTCTAACTTGATCCTGGGAGTTTGCTATTTTTCTTGCTGGGTTTCATCCTAAATGCTGAGAAGAAATTATTAAATTTCTTTACAGCTTCAGTGATTATGATGGAAGAGTCATCAAGTTTAGTACAGGAAGGCCCCGTCTGTATGACTCTTAAGTTCCTAACCCCCATGTGATAAGCAAAAATTACTGGCAGGTAGAAAAGTGCATTATCATATGCATCTAAAACACCTGATAATGTATTTACACTATACATATCAAGTGCTAGATACAGCTTGGCAAAAAAGAAGATAAAAAAGTAAAATAAATATAAAGTACATACAATACTAACCTTAAAATATGGTGGTAATCACCTTGCCTTATGCAATTATGAAAAAAGGGGAAAATGGTGGAAAAGAGGTAAAAGTGCCGAACATAATGAACAATAGCTCAAGTTAAAGTCAACAAAAATGTGGAACACTGAAAAGAGGGTGTCGAATACTTGGTGCCCTCCTGTATAATTTCTTTTGTTTTAGTCACTTCACCAGAACCCATTATGTGAGCTTTCTATTTTTATCTCCTATTGTTTTTTAAATGTTACCTTAACAAGACTTGTTTTGATGTTCTTATTAGTTTGGTTAGCATTGTTGAATATCTTTTTGTTGTTTATTTGGATATTAAGATCAGTCTATAATTGTTATCATAGCCATGCATTTTGTATACTGATTCACTGTGTTGATACATTGACACATTGTGCTGTCTTACTGACTGTCCTGCATTGTCAGGTATTGTTGATGATAAGCTTTATTTCTACAAAGTATGATTTACAACTGATTCAGGAACAGATTATACAGAACATGATAAATGAATGTGGAAACATTCCCAACAGTGAATTATTTAATAAAATGCCTTCTGTGGAGAAGCAAAAACAGATTATAGTTCAGAATATTCATTACCAGGAACAATTTCAAGCCTGTTCTAAGCCCTTTAGTGCTAGCTTTCCCCAGTTTTCTCAGTGGATTTGCACATTTCACATGAGTTGACCTTGGTGTCCTAAAAATCTTGAATTCTGGCAATAAAACCAAAAATTGCATCTCTGTACCATACTCACTCATAAAGATGTGGGAAAACAATTCTGCAAAAGTAGATGACAGAAAAATGTCTTCCGAGTCGTATAATGGCTTGCTAAATGGAACTTTCTACTATTCATCTGGGGCCTTCAATGACATTGATACAATCGTAAAAAATTATGTACAGTACAGTAGAAGCCTCATATCCACAGATTCGGTTTCCGCAGTTTCAGTTATCTGTGGTTTACCCTGGCCCAAAAATAACCCTTAATTTTTGTTTAATAATAACCCTGAAATCAAAAAGTAGTGATGCTAGTAGTTCTTCAAAGCCTAAGAGAAGCCAAAAAGTGCTTCCCATCAGTGAAAGAGTGCTAATTCTTGACTTATTGTGCATAATTTATCAATTAAACTTTATCATAGGTATGTATACGAACGAAAACAACTCATATACATGGGGTTCACTACTATCCATGGTTTCGGTTATCCACAGTAGGTCTTGGAATGTATCCCCCACAGATATGGGGAGGATTGCTGTATATCATAAAATACAGATACTGTACCTATTTGAAAAAGAACCTGACCATCATTAAGAAACTCTTCATCCCTTGAATAAATAACTGAGTGTTTATGGTAATTTTTCACAACTTTAAAAACAAATGAGAAACATGGAAGCTGAGAGTACAATATAAAGAAGAAGTGAGTATTTGGTTCAACATATGGAGTTAGTGGTTACAAATGAGTATCCAAAATTGTGTGCAGATGGAAAGGCCAGGAAATAAGAACATGGCCTGCAGCAGGCCTACTAGTCCATGCTAGGCAAGCCCAGGTCACACCCACTCAAGAAGGAAGAAGCATTGCTGCAGGCCTACTGACCCAAGTTAGTCAGGTCCAGCTCACAACCACCCCACACCCACTCATGTACAGTGGAACCTCTGGTCACAAAAGCTTCCGAACATGAACTAATCAGTTCACGACCAAAAAATTCACCAAATTTTTGCACATGGTCACGAACACACAATCGGGTGTCAAACAAACATAGCCGAGCCAATTTTCACATTCCGTGCCATTTTTTTTTCGCACATGCCAATTTTCCCCACTTCCTGTTGTTACACCTAACAAAGACCCTTGCCTTGTAGTCGGTCTTGGTCAGACGTGTGTTCATTCACTGTGAACTCCTTGTGTTGTATTTCATGTGTTTTTTAATTCATTTTGTTTTCTTGGCTGTTTATGGTACGTTTTTTCCTCTGTTATTTAAGGTTTTTCTCTATTAAACTGTGCATTATTTTGTATAATTAAGGATTTTTCAAACTGATTATTTTTTCTATGCTTAAAACTCTTAAAAAAAAAAAAAAACTGTTTACAGTGAACTGTCCGTAGGGGTCTAGAACGGACTTGTGCAATGTTAGTTTTCTCTGTTGTTCAAGATTTTCTCAGTGTTATTCAAGGTTTTTACATTTAATTTACTATTACACTGTGCATTCTATGGTATAATTAACTATTTTTATGTTTAAAAATCTTAAAAAAACAACATTTACATAAAGTTCATAGGGGTCTGGAACAGATTAATCGTATTTACATACAATCCAATGGGGAAATTAGGTTCGGGTCACGATCAAATTGGGTCACGACCAGAGTTTTGGAATGAATTATGGTCGTGACCAGAGGTTCCACTGTATTTATCTAACCTATTTTTGAAACTACACAACATTCTAACTTCAATGACATTACTCGAGAGTAACCAAACCAGTGCTTTCCTATATCCTTTCTAAATCTAAATTTTTCTAACTTGAACCCACTGCTGCAAGTCATGTCTTGGAATGAGAAATAGGTTTATATTCTTCACAGTAAGATACAAGACTGATTATACATGAAATATTTACCTGAAAATGGAACCAAAGTTGTGCCATACTTGTAGCCAGGAATAACTTCATCAGAATTTACTGCAGTCTGTGCATCATCATTGCGATGATATGATGTTTCACTGATTATCATTGCCGACTCATCGTGAGCATGCCTTTTCTTCCATGTGGGTACAGTTACATGCTTTACCTGAATATGAAGAATAGTGATTGTCTCACTGCCTTTCTATTTAGTTCAATAGTCCATTAATAACTATTAACCTTAGTTCTACCTACCTCCACTAAGATTATTACTGCTATATTCATGAGGAAGACTAAAGCCATAGGAGTCATACAATGCCTGATGAATGGGAGGGAATCAGGTTTGATTCAAGAGGAAAGTAGCTAAATCCTTGGCTCAAAAGTCCATCACCAGCATCAAGGCACCCATGCAGCTACCTCCAACATCCTGGTTAATCTGGCCAAATGACTTTGGGACCAGGTTGCGAAGGCCATGCTCTTCTTTCCCTCCTTCCCACTGAAATTATCTTCAAATAACCTTCAGGCTCCAGGTAAGCCCTTTGAAGGGTTTGCACTAACATTATTATTTATATAAGACAATACATGGGTTGCTTTTTCAATTTTTCAGATTCCAAATTGTCAGCAAACTTTTAAACTATTAATTAGCCTATCTAAAATGATAATACAAAGAATGGATATATATAACGTGTTCATAACTGCAGATCAGCATTAAAAAAAAGACAAAAATCTTCTCAATATAATCTTTGGACTTGGTTTGTCAAGGGAAATCATAGTCACTCAGGCAGGCATAACCCAGGGAGGACCCTGCTATATCTGTATTAATTTAGTCATGTGATGTGAGATGGATCAAACAAAATTTGCCTTTCATCAGAGTTATGAAATTACTTAATTTAAAGTAAAGACCTTTTTTCCACCACTGATAATTTTCCTCAGCAAACTGAACAAAAAAATAAAAAGATATATGCAGTCTCTATAATTCTTTAAGGAGCAAGTAATTTTTGTATAATGATATGCTACCTACTGCAAGAGAGACTGAGAGGTAAAGGTAAGTAAGAAGGGAACAGGAGACCAGCATATAAGAGGAGAATCCACAAAGGCATGAGAGGATTACATTATTGGGCAAGACACTCTATACTGTAATATGATAGAAATTGGCACATTCTAAAATCTCTTTACTCTTACAACTTTTGTTGTAACATTCATATTTCTTTGTTACGACTGCTTGAATCTAAGTCTGAATAGTCTATTACTCTTTATGAGTAATTGTGAACCACACTCTGATAGACCTAGAATAACACTGCTTCACATCACAATTCTTCACTATACTTGGGAAGGAGCTAGGGTTTTTTGATTGGTTACTCTTGGGTGATGAGTTCCCCCAATGGACAGAAGCCATGTCAAAAATTTTATGAGCCCTTGCAAGACTCGAAAAAAAAAAAAGTCTAAAAAGGTAAAACTATAAAGACTTTAACATGAGTACAGTAGAACACTGAGTGGACAAACCACTCAAGATATGGATGTTTTCCACTCATAAATGCTGGGAAGTATTGAGATTTGTCCTTAATGAAATGAAACTGATAAGCCCCATGGAGAATGCTCATATATAAACTAAAGAAGCAAAGACATAAAAAAATACAGAGAATGACTTATGTTTTAAAAGAAGGAACTAGCAAATACAGCCAGAAATACTATCTCAAAGTAAGGAAGAAAGCTGCTCAAAAATAGCATGGCATCCTATGGAAAAATTAAGCAAAAATTATGAGTAAACAAAAAGTGAAATAGAAGACTCCACAGAATCTTCACCAATAAGAACCACTGCCAAGTTGAAGGAGGAAGGAGGCAAGACTAAGCTAAGTCACAGGAAAATCCAAAACTGGTGATTTAGTTAAATCTGATGGACAGTACTACATACTATTACTGTACTGTCCTCCTATGAAATCTGTCTACAGAATCCTCAGTCTTATGCTCAACAAGAGAAAAAATATTAACCTTGATTCTGCCTGTTATAGCAATCCGAAAATCTGGACCAATTTCTAAAAGGGTGTTCCATGCACCACTACTGGCAGAAGATTTTTGGAAGAATATGAGCTGTGCAATTGCTTCATCAAAGCTGCAGATGATTCCATCAACCTGTCAATATAAAAATTGCACTAGACCAATACTTTCTGAAGCATTAAAATATTGTATGGTAGAATGCAAATAATTTATAAGCCTGGATAATGATAAATCTATAACTCCACTGATATATATACAGCAAAAATTTTAATTTAGAAAATTACAGAGAGTTGCTATAAAAGATAGAGCAAACAAGTCAACTTTCTCATGAAAATTAAAATGAGCACTTTCCTGAAAATTACAAAATACATATATTCTAAGAATGAAAATTATTCACATTAAAAATGTTGCTCATTCTAGTACCAGAACAATAAACAGGTCACGCACACAAGAATCTACCAGCATTTGATGTGATAACCATATTGTGTAAGGTCAGGGAGCATAGTAGGAAAGCAAGGTTTTCTAATACTGTACTATGCTGCTGTTATTGAATACTGCTTAAATTATCTAAAATATCATAGTGCATTTTTTTCCCTCTGGAAATGGATATATACAGCATTTTCTGGTAAGTTAAGCATGAAAGAAACTATATTCAGAGTTTATGAAAATTTAAAGAAATTAAGAAAATTAATAAATTACATATGATTTTAGATGACAGCAGAGATAATTACTTTGAAAGATATCCTCTTCAAAATCAGTTACAATAAAAAACAAAATAACATTGATATGTATATATAATATTTAATAAGTTATTGAAAAACAATATGGAAAACTTTAAAAATGTCAGGAGGTAAGGAAAAGTTATATACAAGCTTCCATATTACAGGCACACCCTGCTTTGCAGCACTTTACTAATACAGCGGTGTTCAGTTATACCCATTCTTCATTTATTCATAAGAACATAAGAACGAAGGAACACTGCAGAAGGCCTACTGGCCCATGCAAGGCAGGTCCAAGTCTCCTACCGGCTTAAGCCAATGCACCCAACCTAGTCAGGTCAGGTCACATTGACTTAAGGGAGGAACACGGCAACCGACCTGGTAGCACAAGCTATCAGGTCCAACTCACACCCACCCACATCCACTCATGTATTTATCCAACCTATTTTTAAAGCTACACAACGTTCTGGCCTCTATAACTGTACTCGGAGTTGTTCCACTCATCCACAACTCTATTACCAAACCAGTTACTTTCCTATATCCTTCTCTGAATCTGAATTTTTCCAACTTAAAACCATTGCTGCGAGTCCATGTCTAGGCTAGATATTTTCAGCACACTATTTACAATCCCCTTTATTTATTCCTGTCTTCCATTTATACACCTCAATCATATCCCCCCTAATCTACGTCTTTCTAGAGAGTGCAGACTCAGGGCCCTTAGTCTATCCTCATAGGAAGGATTTCTGATACATGGGATCAACTTTGTCATCCTCCTTTGTACATTTTCCAGAGAATTTATATCCATTCTGTAATACGGTGACCAAAACTGTGCAGCATAATCTAAATGAGGCCTAACAAGGATGTATAGAGTTGAAGAACAACCTGAGGACTCCTATTATTTATGCTTCTTGATATGAAGCCAAGGATTCTATTAGCTTTATTGCGAACACTAATACACTGTTGTCTTGGTTTCAGATTACTGCTAACCAGAACTCCTAAATCTTTTCGCAATCCGTAATATTAAGATCTACATTATTTAGTTTATATGTGGCATGTTATTGTCCTGTCCAACATTTAGAACTTTGCATTTGTCTATATTAACTGCATCTGCCACTTCTCCGACTACTGCATCAGTCTATTCAAATCTTCCTGGAGTGCTCGAATGTCCTCGTCAGAATGAATTCGACGGCCTATTTTGGTGTCATCGGCAAACTTGCCGATGTCGCTCTTTATGCCCTCACTATGTCGTTTATGTAATTGTGAACAGCGGGGGGCCCCAACACTGACCCCTGTGGAACACCGCTCTTTGACGCTTCCCCCACTCTGATTTCTCCCCATTTATGCAAACTCTCTGCTGCCTATTTGTCAACCATGCCTATCCGGGGAAAAAATTTCTCCTCCTATTCCATGTGCTTTAATTTTCCTCAATAGTCTTGATGGGGGGACCCTGTCAAAAGCCTTTTTTTTGTAAGTCCATATACACAATATCATATTCATTACCATGATCTACCTCCTCAAATACCTTAGTGAAAAAAGTTAATAAATTCTTAAGGCAGGAACGCCCCTTTGTAAAACCATGCTGAATTCGTTGATTAATTTATGCTTTTCAAGGTGGCTACGAACTGCCTCGGCAATTATTGATTCCATAAATTTTCCCACTATGGGGGTTAGGCTTATTGGTTATAGTTCGAAGCAAAGGACCTGTCCCTGTTTTGAAAATAGGCATCACATTTGCCATTTTCCACTTATCTGGCACCATGCCAGTTTGTAGTGATATGTTGAAAAGATTAGCCAAAGGTTGCTAAGCTCCTCTTTACATTCCTTTAGAACCCTTGCATACAGTTCATCAGGGCCTGGGGATTTGTTAGGTTTTAATTTATCTATTTGCCTAAGGACCATGGCACTTGTGACCCTAAACGTGCACAGTTTTTTTTCGTCCTGTTCTACATAATTTATCATTTCTGGAATATCGCTGGTTTTCCTCCTGTGTAAAAATGAGAGGAAAATATGTGTTAAAAAATTCTACACATTTCCTTATCACTGTCAGTGAGCTGACCCGAGGAACTTTTGAGTGGGCCTTTCTTGTCCCTGATCTTACTTCTGTATTTCCTGAAAAAATCCTTTTGGGTTAGTCTTCGATTGGGCTTGCAACTTTAACCTCATAATCTCTTTTTGCTTTTCAATTCCCTTTTTTATTTTTCTCTTTTAACTGAATATATCGATTTCTTAATTGCCCCTCTCCTCTTTTGATTTGCCTATATATGCCTCTCTTTTGACCAATCGATTTTTAATCTATTGTTCATCCATTTTGGATCATTTTTGTTTGAATTGATTTCCCTATTTGGAACATAATTTGACTGAGCGCTAGAACTATGCCCTGGAAAGCATCATACGCAACCATCACCACCTACCTGACCCTTAGTCTGGTCATTCCAGTTCAGCCCGCCCTAAGTAATTTTTCAGTCCTATGAAATCAGCCAAGCGAAAGTCAGGGACGGAGACTTGATTGCCATTATTAGGGAAATTCCATGATATATTAAAACTGAGTGTTTTGGGTGATCATTTTCCCCAAGCTCATCATTAACCTCAAGATTATTAATTAGTTTTTTCCCTACTGGCAAGAACCAAGTCAAGGAGGTTATTTCCCCTAGTTGGCTCTGTCACAAACTGTTTTAAAAAACAATCCTGGTTCGTATCAAGAAAGTCACCTGACTCTAAATTTCCTGTCAAATTGCTCCATCAATCTGTCTATAGTTGAAATCTCCCATTGCACAACATTTTCGTATGTAGATGCCTTACGAATTTCGTCCCATAGAATTTTTACTACACTCCCTATCAAGTTTTGGGGGCCCGGGGTAAATCACACCCAAAATAGTTTTTCTCGGCCCCAAACAGATTCAGTGGCTGGGCGCTTTAATTTAATATCTTGTCTAACACAACAATTTAAATGTCTCTGACATACATCGCTACTCCACCACCTTTTTCCCGTTGACCCTGTCAGTGTGGAATAATTTATAGCCTTGTATGTGACATTCAGGAGGGCATCTCTCTATCTTTTAGATGAGCCAGGTCTCTGTTATAGCAATATATCTATGTTTCCTGCACTTGCAATTAATCTTAGCTCATCTATCTTTTTTCTTACACTCCTGCTATTAGTATAGTAAACCTTAAGGGAGCTAGTCCCCTTTCTGCCCTCTGCTGTCCCCCTTTGTTTGCTGACCTGATCTATTGTCTTTATTTATAACTTCATGCTGAATGCCTTTTATACATTTAACTGTTTCCAACCCTAGTGTTTGCAACCTGCTTGTTTCCCACACACACCCATACCTCTATCTTCCATCAGTTTAAAATCATAGGCATTTCACCAATGGCCTTCTCAATCGAGTCTGCAAGTGCTACCACCCTGCCCCAGAGAGATGTACCCCATCCCTTGCATACATATCATGTTTGCCATAAAAGTTGTTCCAGTTGTCAATGAATGGGATTGCAAGTTCCTTGCAGTATCTGTCTAGCCAGCAATTTACACCAATTGCCCTAGACAACCATTCATTTCCTACTCCCCTTCTAGGCAAGATGCTACATATGATTGGGATCCCTCCCTTAGACTTAATGAAATCTATAGCTGACCTGTACTTATCTAGCAGCTCTTCTCTCCTACCCTCCCAATATCATTTCCACCAGCACTGAGACAGATAATGGGCTTGTTCCCATTACCTGACATGATATTATCCAGCCTGTTGACAATGTCCCCAACACCACTCCAGGGAAGCACACTCTACTCTCATCTTCTTATTCCTATTACAAAAAGCACGGTCAATATATCTTACCTGAGATCACCAACCACAAGAATGCGCTTACCTCCATTAGCAGGGGCAGTAGTACTCTTACCTTCACTGGCCACTGAAGTACATTCATCCTGGAGAACAGAGAAGCGATTTCCTACCTTCAGATCTTCACTCTTAACTTTCCTTACTCTGATGCGCCTCCCATTACTGTGAACCACTCGCCACTTGTAGCAGGTGCTGGGCTGCACCTCACTGCTGGTAGCCGTTGCTACCTCCCCAACTACAGCCTCCTCACAGCGAGAGACAGACTGCACCTCACTGCTAGAAGTCTCATTCCCCACAACTCCAGCCACCTCACACTCTCTCCCAGACCCATTGAGGTGGACCTTCAGCCTCCTAATCTCCTCCTGGAGAAGCAAGACCTCCTCCTCACCACTCACTATAAGCTAAGGATGAAAATATTTTAAAGTATGTAATCTGTGTACCGTATATGCTTTTCTTAGGCCTTTATGATAGTGTAAACATGTTATCAGGCTTTTATACGTATTTATACGTAATTTACATTGATTTTTGCTTTACAGCGGTAGCCTGGAACCTAACCTGCTGTATAAGCAGGGCCCTCCTGTATATGTGTATTATATTTTACACAAGCAAAATTATATAAGGCACAATTTCATGAAAAGAGTACAAACCTCTGCCACAAGCCTGGTGACAAGAGTCTCGCCAGCTAGTTGAACTGCTGTCTTGGGTTTGCCATTCCAGTTCTGAGTTACAGGTATTTTGCCATTGTGTGTACTCTTCACTCCACTACATGGTCCTGGTTTGTCCTCATCTTCATCCTCCTCCTCCTCATCAATAATATCTGGCCCACTAGAGGCAAAAGTCGCTCATGTTACCTCATCAAACAAATAATTCTCATGTACACAAATTTTTTAAGCATCATGACAATGTAAATATGACACTTATGCATCACTAGCACATGGTATTAGGCAATATTTCGCTCTGGGAAACTTTGTCAATCCAAAAACAATGTAGGGGAGTTATTCATTTTAAAAACAGGAGTCCGAAATGTGGAGTTTAAAATTTCAAGCTTGGGCCCCCGGGACCCCG